CCAAAATACCCTCGAGATATCGCAAATATGCACGACATACTTGCATTGCGGCGTCTCCCCATCACGTGTGTGTGGTCGCAGAATGGGCCTCGTTGCCAATATTGCCGTTTCGGGTAGTCAAGGTGAAGGTGCTGAGACGAATCATTCGTGAGGGCTTCACCGAGAGTTGAGATTGTGACCTTGAGATGTTATATGCAGACAGACATGCACGGCTTATTGCTGAGGCTGAACTGACAATGTTAGATCCCTCGTCCAAGATGAAGGCTGGTGTTATCTCGGTATCAACCGCCGAGGTTACGTTTCAGTTGATCCAAGAGATAATCTCTGCCTTTTCGGCAGCGTGAAGTTGGTGCCAAATGAAAAGGTCCTGTAGTCCATCTGCTCGCCCAGATTGCTTTCAAGCCCACTCGAGCGTTCAGTTGAGATCCTCCGGTCGTGACCTTCCAGGTTAGAATTATTGGCGTCGGAATGGTCTTGACCTTTAGCGCTGGGTACTTTGGGAGATGATGCCCCGTGAGAACAATTCACAGGCGTCTATATCGTCCCCAAGGTTCGGTGTATATATAGCGACGTCCTCAAGTTGGGCTTTCACCCCGTTATTCACGCGAGCACCTTTGGCGATAAGACGCTCGAATGTCTTAGGTAGGACGTCCGGGGAGGTAGCCAGTATGATGGGCCTTGGTCCAGCGCCGGCTCCTCGTGTGGAAGAATTTGGATCGGCTCCGTGGCGTAAAAGTGAGGCAACCACTTCATCGTTGCAAGGCACTGCTGGTTCAAGATGACTTGCCGGTCACTTGTTTCCTACACCACTACTTCTCACCTTGCTGACCTAGTGGGCTTCTAAGGCATATTTCATAGATAATACAACCAGAGAACCGGCGAGAAAACATGAGGCGGTGATAATTGTAAAGTAGTGCTCGTGGCTTGAATCGAAACTTGCATTTGAAATTAATGTTGAGACCCTTTCACTCTTGCTTCAAAGAACTTGCACTGAAACAACACCGCGAGGTCCAGAACTGGTCAGAAAGGAATGAAAGAAGCCGAGCAAACGATGATTTATAGCGCAAAGAGTGCGAACGAACGTCGGTCCTCACACATCAACGAGTGATCGTAGGGCGCGACGGTGGCGGGCCAGACTCGAGGATTTATGCAGTACCGTCCATGCCGGATAGAAATACTACACAAATCCATAATTGACTCCACAGTTCTCGCAGTTCTGTGTGTGATAGAATCATCGCAATGAGAATCAACGACACATTCGAGATGGATGGCTTATAACGACGAGCCTACCGGAAGTGGAGGAACGATCGCAAACGGAGGAGATTCGCCTGAGTGATGAACTAAACAAAATCTTGAGCAGCGAGGGTATTAATGAGCAAAGCTATCACTTGTGACGGTAGCCAACCAATAGTTCCCTCCCATCATCTATACATAACATTCGGCCTCACCCTCATCTCCTCCGGCACCTCCTCCAACCCATCCATCGGCCTCAGCAACACATCCGCCCCGCTCGCCACAATACAATAACTCTCCCTCAACGCATTCGTATCCTCCAAAATACTCGACGGCATCTTCTCATCCCCAGGCGGCGGGCTCCGCATCGCCAGCGCCAACAGCTCCGGCGTCGACTCCCAGCTCTTGCTCGTGACGCCCACAACAAGACTCCACGCCATAAACGCCACCGCGACAGCGCAGTACACAAACAGACCCAGCATCGAGTACTTGACGGTGTCGTCCCCGGCAGAGTACGCGAACCCCTTCATCTCACCGCGGAAATGCAGCTTCTGCGCCGCGGCCCCCACGGGCTCGGGCACGTCGAACGCCGTCCCGGACTCGGGGAACCCGAATTGTGTTTTGCGCGGGAAGAAGTTGCGCCACCAGGCGCCGTCGGCGTCCTTTAAAGTGATGATGGGCTTCGCGGCGGGCGCGGTGCGCGCCATGCCGTTGGCGAGCATGGCGTTGACGAGCGTCTCGACGTGGCCGACGGTCCAGGGTAAGCCTAGCGGGGAGTCGACGAGGCCTGCTGAGATTGCGAGGCGCTGGAAGACGGTGGTACCTTCGGTGTCGACCGCTGCGTTGGTCAGGTTTGCGAAGGAGGTCTCGATGAGGACTTTTCGGCTGCCGGGCTTCCATGTTACGGGGAAGGGCCAGCCGTCTGTCCAGACGTGGTTGTCTATGTTGATCCAAGTGTTGGCCCCGATCCATTCTGCGTCTGTGAGGCATCCGTATAACGCGATCCCCCCTTGGCGTGGGAGTGAGATGATGGCGCCGATGGAGACGTTGGCTGCTAGGTCCCCTTCGGGATCAATATCAAAGAAGGACAGCTGGGGGCTCGTATCGTTGAGAGTTGTCCAGAAAGCTTGCGTAGTCGGGTTCTCCAAGGCCGTGATATCAATGTTATTGACAAAAGAAGCCTCGTTCCGCACTTCTGGAAAGTTCACAGGCCCGCCACGATCGCTGGACGTGGTGTTTCCATCGATCATGGTAACTCGACATCGAGTTTCCATGGACGCGAGCTCCTGGAAGGTCGAGTACCGGTAGTCGGACCCGCGGTAGTACTTCTTCTCCTTTTGGTCCATCAAAATGAGGGCATCCTGCCACAGCATCGTCGTCGCGGCCAACATGGCGCCCGTCACACGATGCGGCAGCGTCATGCGAGACTCGGACCACCCGCGCGGCACCCCTGGCTCGCGAACGGACATGGACAGCTGCAGAATCGATTCCGGCGTGGCGAGCGGGAACAGCGCCGGGATCCGGATGTACGACCCCTTTGTGACGTTGAGGACGGCCTGGTCCGGGAGGTAGCTCACGAGATGTGTCAGCGAGTCCCACCCTGCAGATGGGCAGTCGAGGTTGCCGGCCCTCTCGCACACATCGCCGGCAACGGTGTCCGCCGCCGTCAGCGTCCGGGGAAAGATGTCGGCGCCGGCCTTGTCAATGTATACCCACGACCCGCCCATCATCCACCAGTCGTTGAGGGGCGTCGATACGGTAGCCGTTGCGGGTGCCACGACGACCGCTAGGACGCAACACATGACGAGGAAGGAGGCGAAAAAGACCTTTTTCCAGACGGTCGAGAAGCGGCCGCGCAGCATGGCCGTCATCTCACCGGACCACAGAAACTCGGGCGAGCTGAAGCTGTTTCCCGCAAAAAAGGCCGCGAGCGGCGTCCCCTGGCCAAGCGTCACCTCACGGCGGACAAAGGTGAATATCATGGTCGTGAGGGAGCCGATGATCATGATTTCGAGGAACTTTGCGGCGAACTGGATCAGCAGGTTGGCCGACTTGTCCCACTCGCGGTTCGGCGTGAGGTCCGCCCCGATCCAGTACTCGTGGTAGATGAGGTGGCTCATGATGGCGGTGGCGACCAGGGGCGGGACATGGACCATGATGGCGAGAAGATCAATGGGCCGGTTCTTGAAGATGACGACCTCTGTCTGGTTGCGGATCGAGTCGCGGACGTTGTAGAAGAGACGATATAGAGAGTGGAAACTCCATGCTTTGAGTGTGTTTTGAAGGACAGCCCTGAAGCTGAACTTGCCTTCGTACACTTCGTAGGGGGTCGTTTGGTCGTTGAGTCTGGCATAGGTTAGCATTTATGACTTATTGTGTATGAATTCCAGAAACCACCCAGAGGTCTAATTCTGGTCTGGTGTTAGGTGAGGTTATAATCACCTCTCTGTATCTTTGAAATCTTGCGTATCGTCCGGATCTAGGGATTGTCCTCGACGTCCTGGCAGGCCGCCATCTTGTGGATGAAGAAGAGGGACGAGAGGCTCTCCCCTTTCGCCAGTTAAACGGACTTTAGGCATCGTGAGATCTTCCCTTTTCAACGAGCATTAATCGATAATGACATCTCCTACCACATAGACTCTGAGCCCGGAGACTTGGATTCATTTATCAGTCGTTCTCCTACACCGCAGCACTCTCAGCTCACAACGAAAAGTGAACTTTGAATGTGGCCAACAGGGGCATGATGCAACGTTCGAGGACAGGGTGCTCGCCAGGCACCGAGATAAAGTCCTCCCAAGCCCGGCTCCGGTGAAGCGCTTAAGCCGTGACAGCTACAATCTCATTGGGTATTGAATTCGAGATCCGCTCTCGGGAACGGCCTGAAGCTCTCATGTTGCGATGCCGCTCATGCGTGTCAGACTGTCGAATCCATCCGTTGAACATTCAACCTCCTTTGGGCCCTTTTGGAACATGGCCGGCAAGGCTGAGGAGCTGAATCCTTGTGTGAATATAGAGCTGGCTCCATTGCATACGTGCGTAAATCCGAATCCTCTGAGGCTCTCAATCCGAGTACATCAAGTCATCAACCAACGTCGTTGAAACAAGTTCAAGTGAAGGGCTTCCAGCGCCTAGGAATAAGCTTGTTGTACTACAGGCGCAGGGACCCGTATCAGGCCCGGCTGCCCGCGATCTCGCTGAGGTAATCAGACATAAACCCCCACGCCCTTGAGTTGGCGGGTGCCTGCCCGACCGACCACAGGTGCCCAGATCTGAAGATGCTCGGCGCGTGGTCATCGACTTCTCCACCCCATCTGAGTGGATGACAGCGATCCGGTGAACGCGGCGCATGAGTGCTTGTCTCTCTCCTACTCGTCCTCCCCAACGTCAACAACGTCGCTTTGAGTCGCTTTGTTTACACGTGCGACCTCGTGACACCAACGTCTGTCGAAAGCTCTAGGGAGTGTGCGACTCGGTCATTGTTCGACTACTTCAAACAAAGCCGGCGCATTCGGGAACCTGTTTGAATCGGGAGGACGGAAACCGACGGGATATCTAACGACGAACATACACACCCTTCTGGCCGCCCTCTACGCAGGCCGTTCTACAAACAACTCACTACACTCTCTCGACCCCTTTACAAGTGGAATACCAACGACGAATTTGCAATCCACGATCCGGACCTCGACGGATCTGAACTGCACTGATCTTGAGCTGAGACAGATTCACCACCAGCCTACGTTCCCGACGGCAAGACAGGAAACATAAAGATGGAGCGCATCAGGGAACTGCTAGGCAAGCACCACAAGCCGGATCGGCAAGAGTACGAGCCTCTCGCCGAGGAAGGTCGGGAACTCGACGGGTCCACGCTGGAAGAAGACCCGGAGGAGGTGCCGTTCTCATGGACCGAGTACATCATGTTCGCCTGGTTGGGCATGGCGATGCTATGGGCCTGGTACGTGAACCTCATCCTCCTATCACCCACTCCTCAACCCCCGAGATACACAACAATAATGGCTAACATCTTGCGTCTCCAGGAACATGTTCCTTGCAGCAGCCCCCTACTTCCAAGTCCGCTTCCAATCCGACGTCTGGATCTCCCAAAACTTCCAATCCGCCATCCTCACCGTCTCGACCCTCACAAACCTCACCGCCATGCTCATCCTCACAAACATCCAATACGCAGCCTCCTACCCCTTCCGCATCAACCTCGCCCTCCTCCTCAACTGCGTAATCTTCTCCTTCCTCACGGCCTCCACCTCCTTCGCCCTCGACGTCTCCCCCGGCGCATACCTAGCCTTCATCCTCCTCATGGTCGCCTCCAGCTCCTGGGCCACAGGCCTCATCCAAAACGGCGCCTTTGCCTTTGCAGCCTCCTTTGGTCGGCCCGAGTACATGCAGGCCTTAATGGCAGGCCAGGGCGTAGCGGGCGTCCTCCCGCCCATCGCGCAGGTCATCACCGTCCTCGTCGTCCCCGAAAAGGAGGGCACCACAACCGTCCAAGACGACATCAAGTCCTCGTCCTCCTCGGCCTTTGTCTACTTCCTCGCCGCCGTCGCCGTCTCCGTCTCGGCCCTACTGGCCTTCCTCCCCCTCGTCCGCCGCCACAACCACATCATCGAAGCCCGCATGGCCAACACCCTCGCAGAATCCCTCACCTCCGTCGAAGAAGCCGAGCGCGCCGCCCGCAAAGTCGTCTCCCCGCTCACCCTCCTCCGCAAACTCCACTGGCTCGCCGGCGCAATCTTCATGTGCTTTTCGGTGGCCATGTTCTTCCCTGTCTTCACCGGCAAGATCCTCTCCGTCCGCTACCCAGGCGACGAAAAGAACCCCGCAGGCATCCTCTTCCGCCCAGCAGCCTTTATCCCCTTGGCCTTCTTCGCCTGGAACTTAGGCGACCTCTCCGGCCGTATGGCCACCATCCTCCCCTTCTCGCTACGTCACCGGCCCGCCGCCCTTTTCGGCGTCAGCCTCGCGCGCATCGGGTTCCTGCCGCTCTACCTGCTGTGCAACATTGGCGGCCGCGGCGCCGTCGTCAGCAGCGATTTCTTTTATCTTGTCGTCGTGCAGTTCTTCTTTGGGTTGACCAATGGGTGGCTCGGCTCGAGCTGCATGATGGCCGCGGGCGAGTGGGTCGAGGATGGCGAGCGCGAGGCCACGGGCGGGTTCATGGGGTTGTGTCTTGTTGCTGGGTTGACGACGGGTAGTCTTTTGAGCTTTACGGCTGGTGGTATCTAAAGGATATTTTGGTAATTTGCATGTGTACGGCGTAAGTGGTGCATGATTACATCTCATTGGCATACGGTATTAGTCTTGAATGGCGTTTCAGGGTACGGGGCACGAGAACGAGCATAAAGACGGTCAATAATAGTTGACCCTAGAGACACGGCTTATCCAATTCATCATTAAGACATGGGAGAGCCCAAGGGCTGTTGCAAAGTTACATTACGCTTTGCTTCGCTGCTAATACACTATTGTACAACGGCTTCGACGTCGTTCAGCCCTGGAGAGCGCAATTCACCATCTTTCCGCGCCCGGTATACCAGCCCTCGTCAATCAACGCGCGTTCCTTATCCTGCCACTCTTGGAACTTCCAAGAGACGTTCTTCTTGTCGAGATCGGCAAGCTTGGCTTCAAACGAGTCCACAACCACAGTCTCCTCTGAGCCCTTCTTCTCGACGCGATATCGCATGTAGAGGGAACAGTCTCGCAACGTCATGGCGATACTAAACTCCGAGTCGTTTTTGCTTGCGTTCAGGGGCCCGCGGGGATCCTTCTGGGTTTGGTGCCTCTTCAGCAAGCTGAGGATAGGCGTCTTCTTCAGCAGGTCGTACAAGGTAGAGGCGTGCTTGTTGTCTCCGAGGCTGCTGTACTGGAACAAGCTGGTGAGAGCCTTTTGACGCACATCTTCCTTGCCCTTGGGCGTCTCTCTCTCGGGATCCAACCAGAGGGGACAGGGGTAGTACCGCGGGTTACTGCCGGCGTCCTTGCTGTCTTTGAACTTCTTGGCCGCGAGGGCACAGCAGCGACATGTGTTGGCGTTCTCCGGCGCGGACGGCGACTGGGCGAGCCACTTTGGCTTAAATTCGACTACGCGCTCATCGGCGCTCCGCGCGCGCATGCTTTCGATCAAGCAAGCCCGTCCTTCTTCCATGATTTTGTTGTTTTCAAACTTGGCGGGTCGCTTTTTCGCTCCTGGCGGTGCTTTGTTCAACGCATCTAGTACGTTCTGCATGTGTGTCATAGCCTCTTTCGGGAGGAGTGCAAACTTCATGTCGGCCAGCAGATCCGCGCGAAAGGTGAAGAGAGGAGCAATGGTGGTCCAGAAATAAAACCACTGCTCCTTTGGCGGGTAGAATGGCTTGTCACCACCTTTGGGTTGCTTTGGTACTCTCAAGAGGTATTCTGTAAGTGATATTAGTAGCAGTTCAGGATAGGGCCTGTAAGGGACATCTGAAACCCACTTGTCAATAGGTCGTCCTCGGTTCCGTCTTTCTGGTCCTGTCTCGCAAACTTGGTATACAAAAACGGGATGAACAGAACGTTGGCGGCGCCCTCGCCGACATATATGGCGTGTGTCCAGGGACTAATATGAACTTTCTCTTCCGAGATGACCACGCCCATGTTGAAGACCTTGTCCGATGATGGGCTATGCTCCCTAGGGACATCTTTGGAGCATATATCTGCAACCGTGTTCGCACTGATCTTCATATTGATCTTTGTGGGGGGGATCAATAATTTGACCATGATGAGGAAAGCGCAGTGAAGCGAGATTTGTGTTGAAGATCGAAGACTTGGTGCTGGCAATGAGCGCAGACTCTTTGATACGGATGAGAGGCTGAGCTAAGGTAGCGAGCTGCTGTTGAGGTAGTGACCGGCTGGATCGAGGCGGGTAGGTAAGGCGTCCAGATGGCTTCACAAGGCGACCGTGTTAAGCGATGATGTTTGTGTGAAAAGGGGAGAGACTCTCACGGCGAGTTGCAAAGAGGTATGGAGGAAGGAATGTGTCTTTTTCCCAGCTGAACTAAGGTAAGATCCAATGGCTTACCTGCCGCAACTGGTGGCAGCAAGTGGTCTAGCAAAGCGCAGTTTCCCAAGAGTGGTGGTGACTTGGAGGTGTCTCACGCCAGCAACCCTCTCTCTCACGCTCCCGCCTCCGCTCTTGCCTGATCTGGCTCGGTGCTTTTGCAGATAGAACACGTGGGTGAATACACGCTGGATAGCACGTGAGACTGGTCGGAAAGGGTTCCCAGAAAGAGGACGGAACCGAAGTGCTTGTGAGTAAGGTGGGTAGGTAGTCTACGTCGTCAGCCGACTCGTAGTTGTCTGATCTAGCGTCGCCAAATTCGAGTATCGAAAGAGCGCGCGCGCGCAACTGTTGCCTGCCCGCGTTTCTATGGTTCCCCTTGGTTAGAAGACGGATTTCTGATGAGGGAGCGATAGCGACGAGGCTCCATTTGGGTTGCTTGTTGCTCTGTGCTACAACGGCCCTCCCTTTTGTGTATTTTTTGCGCCTTTGTTGTGTCTTCTGGATACCAGCGGTATCCCGGGATGACGACAGACTTTCCGCTTCGGGTGTGGAGCAGAAAAGTTGGCTGATTTGGCGCTGGCTGCTGGGTAAACTTGTGAGTTCCTACTTTTTGTCGACGCTATTGGCAAGAAAGCAACGGTAGCAGACAGACACGACAGGCAACTTCCCTGGGGCGGGAGAGGCTGACGGGGTAAGCCAATGACTCCAATGACTCCTCCCACAGCGATAGGTAGCAAGTCGCGGCTCATCTGTCATATCTGGACATTTTGGCAAGGGCGTTGGACAGGAAGCTACCGCAGGCACCGCAGGGTGTATTCTGTGTTACATAAGTTTTTACCCCGGAATCTTGTGAGAGGTTGGATTTCTTCTTCAATGTGCGGTTGCAGAGATGGAACCCAGAATTCCAAAGGGCCCAGATGTTTTAGCAGAAACTCATCATCCAATGCCTGCGATGACTGGTACGGCGCGCGCGTCAAACCCACATGCTTGACGTGAGTGCGGCTATCAAGCTGACCCCCCATGCTGATGCGGGCAGCCAGAGGGAAAAGGAAAGAGGGCACGATTGGGTGCACCGTGCAGCATTGGCGACGCGCGATTCTTCGGCCGGACTGAGCCGGAGGAGAACCGAAGATTGGCCTATGCAGCGCGTGAATGGGCGGCTTGCCCCGCCCGGCGGGAGATCTTTGGGAAAAGGTTGGACTTTGGAGGCTCAGAAAGCGCAGAGCGCATTGCGTCGCTTTCTTCTTAGCCGGCGTCGCCCGTTGGCTCCTTTCCTCCGAAGAGCGGAGCATTGCGGAGAAACATTCAAGGGACTTGGGCTGAAGGAGGGGAAAAGTTCAAGGAAAGAGAGACATTGGACGGGAGACACGCGATGGCAGACTGCGGAGAATTACATAAACCTGATAGAAGCAGTCAAGAATACCTAGGTAAGGTCAGATCAGTCGTGGCAGGGGATGGGGGGGCACTGACCGGCAAATCGGACAGGATGCTGGACCCGAGAGCGATTCGAGCGCCGTGATGATGTGATTCTGCCCAGTCGAGACTCAACCCTGCTCAGCCCGGCCCGGCGACAAGACTTTCCATACGAATAGTTCATGCCTCTCTGTAAACCGAAGTGCATCATTGTGGATGCCGATATGACGGATTACCTACATCTCCGCATGGCTTCAGATGAAATGAATAAAACCATGTCATTTTGTTTTCCAAATCCAGCCTTCATGCACGCGCAATCTCCCAAAAGGGATAGGTCGAAGAAGCAACGCCCTGATTTCTGGGAATTAGTAGAATTCCTGCCTGTCAGGTTATACTTTTCACAATAGGGTATCCTGATGTCGGACCACATCCAGCACATGTCTTTCGATATCGGCCCATGTTTGCTGACAACCCATCGCTCGTGATCGGCCCCGGGCTGCAACGGACCAACAGCCAGAGACCAAAAAGACGCAATGGCACCGTAGAAGCGGGTTCTTACCCCGACCAGGACGGGATCCAAAGGGCTGAAATGTCGGCCAGCCCAGATCTTGCTGAAGAGTCTTTGCGACACTCGATTTGATTCGGTTCCCCAGATGGTTCGCGCTTGTGGAAACGAGGGTACAACTCTAAATCGTCCACCGTCTTTTTCGTTCCGGTGGCTTGGTGCGGGATTCGGCTGGCGCATCTCTTGACTTTGGAGGTGGTCATTCGTGATACTTCGGGGCTTTTGATGGCATTCGGTATCCGAACGGTGCCTTGCCTTGCGCGGACGATGAAGGTCCTCGGGAGACTCGCATGACTGCTAATCTGCAACCGTCCGGCTCACTTGCAACTTCACAAGCAAATATGCAAATGAACCAACCAGGCCAACGGCACTAGGTACATCCGGCGCATAGCATATCATTAGCCGTGGGTGGTGCTCAGTGGGTGTGAACGTCCAGTGTGTGTCCACGCAAACTAAGGGTGAGGTTGCAGCGAACTCATGAGTCTTGGGTCCTGCCCTGGGAAGTGGACCTACCACCTTCCGGCCCTTCCTTCCTAAGGAACGAAGTGCCTTACTCCTTCCTCCTTTTTTTCTTCTTTTTTTTTAATGGGGCCCTCGGTGGCTTGGGGGCGCCCGTCACGCTGCAGGCCGTTACCTCTCAGTGGAAGGAACCTACCTTACTGAAGGTACCTCAGTCCCAAAGTACTCTGTAGGTACTGAACGGGGGAAGGAAGCAGTGCCCACTTGACCCTTCCAAAGCTGAAAGCTGGGACGCGCTCAAGTGGACGCTCACACGCACCTTCCTCTTAGTGGCCCCACCCAAAGGCCCTTTCCCGCACCACACACGCGACACTCGCATCCGCCGGCCCCAGCATAAGGAGTCGCATCTGTCACAGCACCTGGTCATCTACCCAGTCAGAACACAGCCAAAAAGAAACACAGGGAAAAAAAACAGCCGTCAGAAATTTTGCAGGTGGAAAGAAAAAAATCGCGCTAAAGCTGCACCACTACCACCGCACGCACCTCAGTACTACGTACCCGTCCAGCGTCATTCGCCGGAAAACGCACACCTCCCGCGCACCGAACACTCGTTCTACCTCTTCACCACACAACCAAGCTTGATCTACATCCCGACACCTCCCACCCTCATTCTCCCTCCGCCTTCTCCCCAGACCATCCAACTCTTCTTCCCCGGACTATATCATCTAATTGCACCTGCTCCTCAGCGAGTCCATCCTACTACCGGTCTTGCCTTCGAACCCGCCATCGACGCAAACCTTTCGCCATCGAACCCGAAGCACCTTACTAGACATCACCAACTCACCAGTCTCTCCTTATCGAGTCCCGGCCGACCGGCCTCCATCACCTTGCCCTTCGATGGTTGGCCGCAGCTAAAGCCATTTCAACATGGCCTTCAACTTCAACTGGTCGCCGCTCACGGCCGACGCCGAGTTCTACCAGCGCGCCCGAGAACTGCTCACCACCGCTTTGAACAAGAATCCGAAGCCTCCGATTATCGTCGATGACATCCTCGTTACCGAGTTCAACTTGGGCTCCGTGCCCCCGGAATTGGAGATATTAGAGATTGGCGACATTGCCGAGGATCGATTCCGTGGCATATTCAAAATGTGTTATTCGGGCGACGCCTTCTTGACCTTGAAAACGAGGGTTCAGGTATGCTGGATTTTTTTTTTTGCGTTCGCTCTTCCGCACCTCGCCATCCCGCAGGTGTCTCCCTGCACGCAAACTCCGGAGGCGAAGCTCGGCTTCGCAGCCGTCGCAATGAGCTCGCCAATGCCCGCATCACGAACTCACCTCCACGAGTTCGGAATCATTCTCGTTCCAGTGGTTATCGTAGTGCGCCAGAGCAATTCTGCGTCGCGATCATGATTCCATACCAGTGTCTGGAATGCCCTGGGTCCCCCCATCGGAGAGCCGAGACAGCACCAAGTGATGCTCTCCCCGAAAACAGCATCATCTCACCAACCACAATCATTTCCACCCTTTCAGATACTTCGCAGCATCGTTACCCCAATCATCCCGGTGTTTGTTTTTCCCTCACCAAACATTTCTTCACTACCCGCGTGCTCGCATTGAAGTCGAAATTACCTGGCCGGGATCCGCGTCCCATGTTACTACCTTTGGCTCCCCCAAAATGCACGTGCGTCATAGCGATGCTAATATATCAACAAATAGGCAAATCCAATGAACACCTACCTGTCGTCCAAGCCGGGATTCACATCGCCGCAGCCACTGGCCGCCGCATCGGGTCTTACTATTCCGCTGTCAATAACGCTTTCCGAGATCAAGCTTTCAGCCTTCATCATCCTGGTCTTCTCAAGGCAAAAGGGCTTGACCCTGGTCTTTCGCAATGACCCGCTCGAGTCGCTCAAGGTCTCTTCGACCTTTGATTCGATACCGTTCGTGCGCGATTATCTACAGCGCACCATCGAGGCCCAATTAAGGAATCTGATGATGGACGAGCTCCCCGCCATCATTCACAGGCTGTCTCTGCGCTTGTGGTGCCCCGATGCACTGCCAAAGGAGGAGGAGGCGCCCAACGAGGACGCTGAGGAAGCCGAAGTTGACCCCTTGGCGAGCCCCCCTCTAGATCCCGTCGATGCGAACGGTAACCTTCTCGACGCCAACGAGGTTTCCTCATTATCTCTTGAGGGTGGCCCGGAAGTCCAGTCACTCTTCTCGCAGAAGAACCTTCTAAGATTGGCTGCGCTGAACGACTCCCATCGCACATTCTCCCTCTTCACGCCGGGTATGCGCGATGTCGTGTTCCGTGCCTGGACTGGACCTGCAGTGTCCGAACCAACTAGCACACCACCAACGGCAACGCCCAGCTTGTCCAAGACCAACTCCTTCCATGGAACGTCTACCACGTACACTTTCTCCGATACTGGTAGCGCCGCTCACGGTCATCTCCCGTCCAGACCGTCAATGGTGAGCCTCAACTCGGCCACCACTGGTCTTTCGTTGGGTGCCGGTATTCGGTCAAAGTCGTACGCTGGTCGAAAGAAGAAGACGAGAGTGGTCAACCTCCGACGCTCAAAGAGCCAGGTTGGCGAAACTCTCGAGGGTAGCGATACCTTCTCGGAAATGGCGTCCGACTCTGCGTCCGTTGCTGGTCCCTCGACTGAGCCTCTCATGACCAGCTCCATTGATGAGGACCTCGAGGAGGAGGAAGCCCTGGCTAACCTGGCAGAATCGACCCCTAGCAAGGTTCGTTTCAGCCCGCTGGAGATGACGCGGATGTCTTCTCGACCTCCGTTGCAGCCGGACTTTTACGCGGCGCCCCAGGAAGGTCCTAGTGTTCCTATCAAGCTGGACAGCACCTGTGAGTCTGAAGCTGTCGTTACGCCCCGAGCCGAAAACGAGAAGGCTGCAGCGGAGAAGCCGCTTCAAGGTGTACCATCCGAGCCGTCATCTGTGTATGAGCAGGCTTGGATCATGAAGATGGCTGGCGAAATTGCCCGTCGTGTCTACGACGAGAAGAGCCGCCATCCCAACCTCTGGGACGAGCGGGAAGACGTCCCGCCCCCGGCCTACGAGGCATCAACCTAGATCACCTGTTTATTTCAGGCAATTGTACAGATTGTGCAAGCATCACTATACATACATCCACTTTGCTGGACTGCATCTCCTTTCCATCTTTTCCATCGCTTCCTCGCATGGCGTTAGGGGGAACTCCTCAACTTTTTTGGTTTTTTGACCATGGACGACAATGGCATAGTCATTGGTCCATTTTGCTATTAGTGTTAATGTGTACATATCACATGGCGTTTGAAAGGGAAACACAGGGGGATACTGGGTATCATACAAAAAAGAATGGGATTGAATCGGAGAAACGGCCTCTTCTCTGATTATATTTTTGGATTCTCGGGTTGGGAAGAAGAGGCCGACCAACCACGCTAGTTTACGCGATGACGCTACGAATCAAACAGTTACTTTTCCCTTTTTACGAGAAAAAAAGGGCGGGCTGTTTTCAACTCGGAGTCATAAAAGTCATCGGCATACTACACCTCGGCCTGTCTACACGAGGCGGGCTTATTCATACAGAACACATCTACACACACACAAACTTGTTTCCTTTGTCACTTTTTCCGAATACTTTATCGCGAATCATCCCCACCGAAGACCTCGATGGGTCGGATGGGTAGAGCTGGTGTGTACAACACAGTGGGAAAGAAGGAATTGGGCTTTGCTAGGAAATCACACCATGGATTTTTGTTAGAATTGGAAAGAGGAGGAAGACCGTGATGGAAGTAGGAAATATCGTGGATATCAGATATCATTTTGTTCAACTTTGCGATCAAACTATTTTTGGCCTGGCTCATAAGACGAGTTTCATGGCGCTATCCGTAAACGCATGTCAATTAGGCATGTTTGAAGAATCAAAAACTCCAATCTTCTATGCATACCGGTATTTTGTTCACACCGCCCATACTCCATACATGAGGCACTTTATTCACCGCTAGACTGTGCTTTTTTTTACCGCTCTGAAACTCCACAATCGAGACAAGGCTCCCTGCCGTCTGCGCTGTCACCAATATGTATGTATGCCTTGTGCTAGCCTCGTCAGCCAACATAGCCCTGTCCATCATGCGGACCATGATTCGGGCCCTCGTCCTTTGCCCTCTTCTTCTCAGGCAGCTCTGCTTCCGGTGATGCCTTCCGCTTTTCGGGCTTTGGGGCGGCCGGTGCCGGAGGACTCAGCATCGCGGACGGGCTCGAAGTATCATCCGACATCTGCACATCCGGCTCCTCCGTGCTCGTCTGAGAATGCATCGACATGGTTTCTGCAGCAGCGTCGACCTGCTTCGGCGGGGCAGAGTCTTGACCTTGGCTACCGCAGTTGTACATCTCTTCGAGGCTACTGTTCGGTACCAGTCGACATTGGGAGCGTGCCGACGCGGAATAGTTTGAGTGGAAGAGACAATATGTTTGTCCTAGTCCGGTGCCTGGTGTGCTATCCCCGGAACCAGGGTTGACCCCCACGTGAGGATTGGTCGAGCCCGCGATGCTAACGGCTGAAGTCTGGGTTGGCGCATTCCGAGGATTTCGAGGGTCATTCTCATCCCAATGCCATCTCGGGGCTCCGGGAGGCTCTGGCCACTGCTGTTCGCCATCAGTCATGGCAGTATCCATGTTGTTGTTACGCCTGGGGCTCGGTGTTCTCAAGCGTGAAGGTTGTTGATGGCGAATGGGCGAGCTGCCACAGTCCATCTCATCGTCTTCTGCATCATCGCCGCCGCCTCGCAGCCTGGGTCGATCCCGATACATTTTTGCGCAGAAGGAATCACGGTTAGACTGAGTTCGCAAGAGAACTGCAACCGATATCAATAAGAAGGCCAGACGCAGAGTCAGCGCCGTGTCGTTAGACAGCTGGAAGGCTCTGTACTCCTAGATGCCCTGGCTGATGAGCTCCAACTCTTCCTTGACGCGTTTGAGCTTTTCCTCGTCTCTGGACAAAGCGAGCAGCTGGGTCGCCACAGTCACCTTACGAGCAGGTCTTCTAGCTGCTACAGTGGGCGGTTCCTAACCGGCCGTAGCAGCAGCAGCGTTCTCTGCTTTTAGCGCAGCCAGCTGGGCCTCCTTCTCCTTGAGAATCTCCAGCTGTTGCTTGGCCATGCCCTTGGCCGTTGTTTCGGCCTCCTTGAGCTTCTTCACCTCAATTTGCTCCGTCTCGAGACTGAACGGCTGACCAGGCTTGTTGACTGCGGGCAGCAGTGCGCTGCGCTCCCACGCCACCTGGACGTTTGAAGTCTTCTCTGGCAAGGCCGGGATCGGTTTGTTCTTGCCTTTGCCTCCTTTGCCCACGGGGTGGCCCTTGGGGTGAGCACCAGAGGTGAGCACTTCGTAAAAGGCTTCGTACGGCTCGTTGAAAAGCTGTTCGTCGTAGGCCCAAGCGCGGATCTCGCCGTCGTTCTGTCGCAGCATCTGCTCCTTCTCGGCGTCGGTTCGTCCGTACGGGTGGAGACGCAGGTTGTGGTACAACGTTTGAGGTTTCTCTCCTGATTCGGTCGCGTAGTATATCTTGATGGTGATTTCAAACTCTCCCCATCCAGTCTCTTGGATAAGGAACGGCTTGCCCGGCTCGCCGTCGATCACTGAGTGGTGTTTTAGCAATCGCACGATTGAATCAGTGGTGCATAGACAACTTACTGCGGACGTGGTTAGGAATGGACTCGTGTAGCTTGAACTGCACTCTCCGAATCCAGTATGTGATGTCGATATCGTCAATGGCCTTGACAAAGACCTCCCATGAATGGGTGTGGTCTGCCGGTACGCCTTCCGGCTTGGGGTTGGTTTCGGGATCGAAAGGACGGGCAGTCGTGCCGTAAATGAAGGGTCGTTTGATCTGTGTACCCTTTACGCGTTTGCCGAGGCTGCTGGGCGGCGCCATAATGATGGATTAGATAAAGGTTGCTCGGGTGATGCGGTGCGTTCTGATCAATGCCCAATGAGAATGCGTGAGTAAGTTTGTGAGGATGTAGTGGGGAGAAATGGTGTTGTCGAAAATGGACCGCAAGCTAAGGCAAGAAAATGGTAAGAAAATGGTTCCTGCGTCGGCAGCCTTACACCAAAGTTCTGAAGTGGGGCATCCCCCGAACCAGCCAACAACGACCGACTCTCGGGTCAGCCCCTGCCGAAGATAATTGTACGGTATCTCAGTACCTTACCTAGGGTATGTTCTTTCCAGCTGAGTGAGTGCTCAAAAGGTTCCTCGATGATTTGTCCTTGGTCGCCTCAATATGAAATGCAGGAAGCAGCAATTGGCAAGTCTTCAAGAATGAAAGACAACAGGGGTCGATCTCCCGGCGTTACAAAGGGTTTAGGAAGTGGGAACTACTGCGCTAGAAGGCTCCTCATCCGATCGTGGTAGGATCGAAGAACAAGTTGGCATTGTGGCCTTGAAGGTAGTATTACAACTTTTCTATGATCTATCTCAACTACTTCTTGTAAAACGCAGTCATCTCCAGAACCTCTTCAGAGTAGGTAAGTTTGAGCAGTAGGGCACCCCAAGAAGGGACCTTTAGAAACAAAATAGTGGAGGCTGTAGCCACCAGCTCGCACATCGAACCTCGCGCCAATGGGGAGCTTGGAAGAACAGCTGCCCCTCCAACCCCTGTAGGTAGCTGCAACTCTTTAGCTGGTGCTGCACTGCTGCATCATAGGGAGGACCCCTGGCAGGTTTTTACTGGGGAGCTGGGGCAGCTTCCGGACGGGTGATGATTTCATGACTTTTTTGAACTTTCCATCCGCGTCCGGAACGGCATCGAACCACCTTCGGATCAAAACTGGCAATCAACTAGCGCCGAACCCGGTCGGCATTTCACAGGGCAATTGACTCCATCACCGTCGTCGATCCGGCTCATTCCCTCTTTTCATCTCACTGCGTTTGTCACCTCCGATTAGTGCTTCTTCTCATCCAATTGGTTGCTTAGGTCCCTCTCATCTAACACATCGTCCCGTTCATCTCACTCACACCCTCATCATGTCAACCTCAGCCGTAGCAAAGAAGCTCGTAGTGTGCGGCGGAAACGGCTTCCTCGGTTCGAGAATCTGCAAGTATGCCGTCGCCAGGGGCTGGGATGTCACATCCATCAGGTACGCATTCTCCTCGTGAACCTTTCACGTCCTCTTGTCGTCCCCGTTCCTAATACATCTCCCCCCCCCCCCCACAGCCGCTCAGGCGAGCCCAAATGGTCAGCCGTGACTGCATCACCATCCCCTCCCCAATGGTCACACAAAGTCTCCTGGGAGCGCGCCGACATGCTCAGCCCAGTAACCTACGCGCCCCTCCTCAAGGGCGCCGACTTCGTCATCCACAGCATGGGCATCCTCCTCGAAGCAGACTACAAGGGCGTCGTCTCGGGTCAGGAGTCCCCCGTCTCGGGCTTACAAAAGGCCTTTGCCCCCGTCAAGGACCGCGGCGTCGACCCCCTAAAGACCTCCGCCGAGCCGGGCGCAGCCGGGGCGGATCTCAAGCCGGCCAACCCGAAAGACCAATTCTCCTACGAGGTCATGAACCGCGACAGCGCCATCGCCCTCGCCAAGCAAGCCAACGCCGAGGAGGCCAAAGCCTTCGTCTACGTCTCCGCCGCCGGCGGGGCGCCTGTCCTACCCGCGCGGTACATCACCACCAAGCGCGAGGCCGAGAGCACCATCGCCAGCGAGTTCCCGCGCATGCGGGGCATCTTCCCGCGGCCGCCCTTCATGTACGATAGCTCGAGGAAGTTCACTCTGCCCTTGGCTGCCATGACGGGCGCGGGTGCACTGTTCAACAGACTGACTGGTGGCGTGTTGAGCGGGTTCATGGGCGCGAGCGGCGTGAAGCCTCTGCCGGTTGAGACTGTCGCGGAAGCAGTGGTGGAAGCACTTGATGATGTCAAGGTTCAGGGCCCGATTGAGGTTCCTGAGCTTGAGGAGTTGGCGACCAAAGGCTGGAGGAAAACCATGCTCTGATGTATGAAGACGTGTATTTGTATTATGCTATAGACTGTACTATCCCCCAATGCAAAGCTGTGTCATGGATTGAATATCCATCCTCCAATGCTGACGTCCGAAACAGTTTCCGAGGTTTCCCCTTTATCCCCCTCAGCTGAAACTCGAGGCCAATTGATAACTGGACAAAAAAAGAGTTCACCACCGGTGTGGCTACATCTCTTGGTGCTCATGCTGGGATTCGAACTTGGGTACTCGCTAAGCCTGTCGTCGAGTAGGCTGGTTGGCGTTGATTGTTGACCTTAGACCACTCCACCACCCAGCCAGTTTGACCCGACCCGTCGACCTAGACGGGCGCCTGCTGGCTGGTGACGAAAATGGAGCTGAGAGGAGTTATAAAGGCAGGTTCCCTCTGGGTTCATTCCGGTGTGTATTCGGGTGTTGGAAAAAATGATCGGATGAAGGCCAGGTAAGACAGGAATGTACGGTCAGTACCGCTTTGTCTCTTTCCTAGCTGGGCTACCTAAGCAGGCAAGTTTTACAGGCCTTTGGCTCCAAAAGCATCTCAGTTTATCCCAAACGCCCGCGCTTAAATCATTGTTCCTCGCTCGAAACTGTCCCTAATCTCCGCAGTGTACTTGTTGTAAAAGCGCGCCAGCTTCTGGTTGAACTGCTTGTTCTTCTCGTTGATGTACGTTACATCGCCATCGTCGCCGTTCTGTGCCATGCGGTCCTTTCTCTTCTTGAGTCTGTTCGCCTCCGCCCTCCTGAGATCCTCCACCAGCCGATCCACGGCCGCCTTGTCCGGCTTGTTCTGCGCGAATGTCGTTGAGTCGGCTGTCGAGTAGAAAGACCCGTCCTTGTCCACCGCGATGAGCTCTCCGTCCTCGGTCTCCACAATGTCGAGGCCGCCCGACGCAGCGGCGCGCTCGATGGCCGCCATCTTGTCCTTTTCGTACTTTTCCATGTCGGGGGCAATATTCCTTAGCTGGCGCTTGTACACCTTGTTGCTTTCGGCAGTGTAGTCTTGGAATGCGTTGTTATCGCGGTGCGCCTCCTTCTTCTTCACGTGCTTGTCCCACTTCTCGCTCTCGTCAATCGTCCAGTCCCAGGCGCGCTTCCGCTCAAAGTCGCCGCCGGCATCCTCAATGTCGGCCTTGAGCAGCTTTTGCGAAGCCACGGCCTGCTTGCGGTGGATAGCCGTCAGCTGGCTGGGGTCTGATGCGAGACGTTGTGATTCGAGCGTTGCCTCCTTCAGATTCTGGTCGGACGAGTTCTTGGCGCGGGCTTTGAGGGCCTTGAACCGCGCCATGCGGTCCTGTGATTTTGCCGCGGCATCCTCCGGTGTGGGCTGTGATGGTGCTGCTGGTTCTGTTGTCGCTGGTGCGGTTTCTGCGGTCGCGCTGGGTTCTGTCGCTTCGGTCTCTTCAGGCGCAGCAGACTTTGCTGGCGCTGCAGTGTCGGCTTCCTCCTTGGCGGCGGAACCCTTATTTGTCTTTCTTTTCTTTGAGGGAGGCATTTTGAAGGTGTTTTTGTGTCGTCAAATGTGTTTCTGGTCGTAAGGTGTGCAGCGGTGGGTTGTTAAGGAATCGCGCTGTATGATTTTGGTGGCTGTATCCGTAGTGATGTGATGTAAAGTGACGAGGAAGTGGGATTTCATTGGGGGACGATCTTGGATGTCAGAGTGCGACTCGACCGACATTTCTCCGACACAGCCACAGCTAGTTGGCTTTGTGGCTGGTGCCTGGATGTCTGTGGCTGGAGGTCGGAAGAATAGATCGACCCACCACCGTTCCCCCGCAGGATCCATACGGGTAACGGACTCCTGCAAGAAACACCCGTGGCTGTGCGGCCGGGCCATCCCTGTCGTTGCCCCAACACCCCTGCGCCGAGAGTGCCCTTGCGTCTCGTTACCTCAACGCGCCCCCTCTCAATATGCGGCTCCCCAGGATCAGACGACTTTTCTGAGCAACATTCGCGTGCCCGTGAATAGCCTCTGAAGGCGACCGAAGATTATCAGGGACTGAATCGTCTCACACCTTAGCCATGCGGCCACTGAGAGCCGCAGGCGTCCCTCGCAGAAGCGCAACGACTGCCTGCTTTTACACTACAGCGTCATCTCGGCTACGACGGCCGCGTGTTCACGAAAAGAAGAGGCCGGCTGAACCGCTAGTACCATACTCATGGCGGCCTTTCGAAGTGCCAGAGGTGGTTCTCGACCTTGATAGTTGGGACAGCCCAATTGCACGGCCGTACGATGAGAATGAGATGCACATTCAGAGGAAAAAATGGGAAAAGATGCCCCAGGTCGACGCCACGTGGCAACGGATCAAGCACTTCGAGTATGAACGCCAGCGCAATAGCGAAAAGTTCGCCCAGCTCAGCCCCAGTAATCCCTGGTATCAACACTGGCAGGTCACGGATCTCGACATCATGACGGCCGCTCTGAGAGGCGGTTCGCGAGTCGGCCCGCAAACCCAGAACCGCCAGCCGGGGGGGAAGCCGCATCAGAATGATGCTTGGAGTGATCTGAAGTCGGTTGCCTCGAAGAACGCAATCCCGTTGACCACCCTTCAAGACGATCAGAACTTCTTGAGCTGGCTGCTCCAACGAAGATCCACCACAGCTTTCTTACCACTGAAGCAACAACGGAGCATTAGTGCATTGATTCGACGACTGGCAGATCTCCAGAGCGTGAAGCGCTACCTCCAATTTCTACTTCAATATGGTGATGAGGGGCTTCAGCTCATTCACAACGCGGATCGAGATATCGCTCTCGCATTATCTCGGCTCCTCTCCAAGCCCTCCGGGTTGCGGCCTTTCGCCGACCTCTTGCCCATTCTCAACAGCATCTTTGCTCTTCAGAGAAAGCACGGTTTACCTGTCAGTCCGGGTCTCTGTGGTATCTGTTTGGTCATCTCGGCCAAGGCATACCAGCTACCGGCAGTCTCGAGATATCTCAAGCTTGGGCTGAAAGAGGGTCACTGGGTTGGAAAGGGCTCATCCGCTTCCGATGTCAAGACTGCAGTCAAGGCGCTGAATCGATGCCGGGGCGACAGGAAGCGCTTCCCAGATGTGGACCGTTCTGGAGAGATCATTCACCGTCTACTCGGAGAGGGTTCGGGGGAGGATAGTACGGCTTCCTTCAAGGTCATTGCGCAGCATCATCCGGCAGACGAAAGGCTGAGGGAACAGTTGTTGGAGTTATCACAACGCGTTGCTTCCGCCCCGAAATACCCCCCCCCTTTCATGAATAAGACATCTCATGTCTTGGCGGAACAAAGTTAGGGCTACCTGAAAGAAGCAGATACCAAAGATACGGATGCACACAGCATAATCAACCACCGGTGTGCATAATCAACCACTCGACTAATAGGAGTCAGACCAAGGTCAAGGTTGGGAAGCGGTGCTGATATATACCAAACCCCATCGTAGGAGTGTCACCCTCAAATACCAAATCTCATTGCTGTGCTCCATACACCCCACGTGGACCAAGACGCGTACTTCTTATGACTGCCTTGCTCGACGACTTGCTCATTCTACGTTGCACGTCTTCTCTTGTAGCTAACCTGCGAATCTGTAAGCCTCCTCTGACAGCGTCCCTCCTCATTCAGCCCTGCCATGCCTGCATCCGGACGCGGGCTCAAATGCCATGTGGCTTGCTGAAGTTTCCAACCCAGAGGAGACTAGTTTTTGACAAGCTGAACCAAGTCCCGCTAATCCTGCCATCCCATTGGGTCTACAGGCCAAGTTAGGATAAGCCAAGCTCAAGCGCCTCCCTCTTCCGTCCAACTCCACACAACATCCTCCGCCGAGTTCGTGTCAAAGTGGTGCTGCCACTCTCCATTGCCTCCGATGCGCTACATTTCGCCATACTGCTTCATCGCTTTCTACCTTGGGGGATGACGCATCTGTTCTGTATGTCAGCAGAAGCCATGGGCGTTCTGTAAATCCGGCGTGTCGGGCGTCCCCTCGCTCACCACGACCAATACCTGTAAGTTGTCTACGTCTCACCACGGGCAAAGGTTGCTAACAATGTCTACGAATCTAGAATAGCACACTTTGAAAGGTGTCTCCGGATCTCGTACTTCACTACTCATGAAAATGGAACCAACATAAGAGGCAAGCCCACCAGAGGGCCGGCGTAGGGTTACCGCAATGCTTCGTAAACTCACATATCACCCGCTTACCTCTGGATTGAACTTCAGCAGAAGAATCAGAGCAGCGGGGTCTTGGCAAAGCGAGCCATCTCGATGCGTGGCGCTTCAGACCTCGGACTAGGAGTCCAGCTCCCTCACCCGTCTGCCTCTGGTCTGGAACGGAGCCCCCGCCAGCTCGTCTGGATCCGGCCTGGTCTGGACGCTGCAGATCAGAAATGTCTCTGACGCTGCCGCTCGTGCTTGTCAACAAGCGAACATAGTGACAAGCCCAAACTCTGCTTTCTCTATCTTTCCCATTCTTCGAGAGTCTCCCCGTTCTTCTCTTTGTTTGAGCTTCCCTTCTTCATCGTCATTCTTCCTTGGATGAGCTGATTGTCAATGTTCTGTCGAGACTGATTTGCCATCACTTTCTTCTCTTCATTTTTTCCATTTCGTCCTTTAGAAATTCCGTAATTTCATTGCATTCCACGGTTTAGACCAAGGTATCAGACCAGACGATCATTGCCCTGCCGTCTTCGAGTAACCCACTCTACCTCCCGAGACATAATCAAAGTGGGAAATCTCGATCACTAGACTCTCACTCGGTCTTCTTACTTCTCCCTTTTCTCGGTTTCACACGCTATGAGCACGATCCGTTCCGACTGAAGGGTCAAGTATCTCCAGGAACCTGGTCCACGGATAGATCAAGATCGACATACCGCTGGCGGGAGGGATCACACGGATCACGGCACGCAATGGCATTCTCCAATCCCTTGCTCACGGTTTTGGCCCTGGCCTTGCTCCCGGCCTCAACTTTGTCGCAGAATGATCCGGTGAACGACTTTTGCCGTCGATTTGGACACCAGACAGCCGTTGTCGATAACAAGCTCTTCATCGATGGTGGTCTAGTAAATTGGAATCCACTGTCATCGTTTCCCGCGAACTACTCAAGTATGTCACTCCCTGAATCAGCTGTAATCCCGTTCACTTCTCCAAACAGTTCTCACTGACACCTCTTCTCAGATACATGGCTTCTCTACCAGGATCTGTCTTCGTCGACGGCTTCAGGCATGCCACCACTTTACGCCAATCTCTCCAAGAACGGATCAATTCCTAACGTTGCCGGCGGTGCCCTTTGGTCTGACAATGTCAACAAACGGCTCTATCTGTTTGGCGGGGAGCGCAATGCGGGAGAATCGCCAATGCCCTTCAACCTATACGGCTATGATATCCTGAATAACCAATGGGATTCTTTCGGCCCATCTCGCACGGGGGCCTCGATATCAAAAGTCAGCTATGGCGCAGGAGTCTCAGTCGATACACGCGGCGAGGCTTACTACTACGGCGGATGGTTGAGCAACGCCTCGGTTCCTGGATGGGGTACTGGTCCACCGGTCGCGACGACTGGGTTAGTGAGATATACCATGGATACCAACAGCTTTTCCAACAACACTGGGTAAGGAGTGAAACCTTGGTCAAGCGAGGGTACACGTCAAGCTAACGGTGACATAGTCCTGATAATGTACGACGCGCCGAGGGTAGCCTGCATTACATCCCCGCTGGGGACGGCGGAATGCTCATCTACTTTGGGGGCATACAGGATCTGGCTGGCAATGGAAGTTCCACGACCGGCCAGCCCATGGACCAGATATTCATATACGATGTCCTCAGCAGCAAATGGTACACGCAGAAAGCTTCAGGTGATGTTCCTGGAATGCGACGACGATTCTGCGCGGGCGTGACGTGGGCAGGAGACCAGTCGTCTTACAACATGTGAGTGTATCACTGCCGTTGCTTTGTGCACCTCATCTAATACGTATTCCAGCTACATTTATGGTGGCGCCAATGTTCCAGGCGTGCTCGGCGCGGGATTCGACGATCTCTACATCCTCTCGATCCCGACCTTTACCTGGATCAAGATGTACCCCATCGGCCGCAACGGGACAGGAGACTATCCTCACCACTCAATGTCCTGCAACATCGTCCCTGGCCGTGCGCAAATGATCATCTCTGGAGGCACTTTCCCGCTCTCCCAAGACTGTGATTCACCCGGGCAATGGGGAACTCACAATGCGGATCTCGGAAAACAGAATGCTGGCAAGGTTGTCTGGGAGCTATACAAGCCCAACAAGACAACGTACGCCGTACCGGACGAAGTCGTTGCTGTAGTAGGCGGCAACGGCAACGGCGGGGCTACAAAGACTGCACCGGCGGCTGGTTTCGACTACACTGATGTCGGCCTCCTCATCACGATCACGGCCAGTATCCCTAGCCGTACGCCGACGAGAGATGTCGGTAGTACCAGTGCTCCAACGCCCACGGGAGGCTTATCTACGGGTGCCATCGTCGGTATCGCGGTAGGAGCTGCAGTTCTGGTCGGCGCTCTCGCCATGGGATGTTTCTTCCTGGTCCGCAAGCGCCGGTCAGAACGCTTCCATACCGGGGCATCGCCTCCGGGACCAAGCCACGTGTATCACGCCCAGAGCATGTCAGAAGCGTGGTCACCACCCGCAGCATCACCTTACTCACCACCATACGGTCCTTCGCCTTTCACACCCCCTCCCCTCTCCGCCCATCCACAGTCACCGCACCCAATGTCACCGCATCCAATGTCTGCGCACACAGTACCGCCGCACATGGGCCCGCCGGTGGAGCTGCCCTCAGAGCCGTCATACACAACGACGCCATCGGCTCTGGCGGGAACGACGACGCTCACAAACATTTCGTCAACGGCGTCCTACCCGCCGCAACAGGCGTATTTCCCCGAGACGACGACGTTGCTGAACCAGCCGCAGTACGACGCCCACGGGAACATGTGGATGCCGCAGGTGAGCATGGTGCAGGTCGCTACCGGGGTGAGCCCGCCGTTGCCCGAGTACACGCCGGCGAGGGGCGATCAGAAGACACCGCAGCCGACGGCGGCCGAGGTACGGCACGAGCCGCCGCCGCAGGAGCTGAGTGCGGACCCGGACGACCGGGCGGAGAGTTCGAGGCAGGAACATCAGACCTACTACAACAGATAGTTTGGTTTTGCAGGCGTGTTGTTTAGTCTATGCTGGGAGTTAACCTATAGCCTGATCTATCAATGATGACGTTAGGCAGAGGTAGGAGCGCGTATGGAAAGGAGTCTCCGGCGTTTGTCTTTCAGTTTGGTCATGTCTTTACTGGCACTATTCCCACTTGAAGTTTTGATATAGATTTATAATCACCCAGGGTTTGGCAAATTCTCAAAGTAGCAGACACATTGAGCCATCAGGGTCCGAAGTCATCAAGGTTCAAAATGACGAATGTGATGAATCCTGCAAAATTTGATATGGTGCCAAGTTCATTGACCCGTCGCATGACTCCATGTGATCCATGCCAGAAGATAGTTACACGGCATACCACACCTTCAAAGAGGGGGTTTCCAACATCGTTGGATCTTGCTGCCTGCGGTGCATGTTCCCCGTGTGCAATGCCGACGAAGCACTCATATTTGTCACTTCAAGGTACTTCGTGTACTTAGATGGAGGCCATTCCGCTGCCCAGCTCACAGTGGCCGCAACGTTCGACGCGGTCCTGACCTTTGATCTAGCTTATAAAGGCAGATGGCCAAGATCACACATCAATATGGGCCAAGTTCGCGTGACTTGTCCGCATGCGGAACTCGAGTACTCTGCCCCCCCCCCCCTCCCCCCCCCCACCCCCCCCAAAGACCTACCCATGCAATGCCGGTAGCCGCGGGGGCGCTGACAATGGCCATCATCTACGATCTTGTCCCCCCGAACCCAAGAAGGGTCCGGGCGTGATGCGATGAGCCCATGTCATGCTCGGCTCATCAGCCGCAGCGCACCGTTGCCCGCCCAGTTCTCTCTCTCTCACCCTCGTCCTACCTCTGCCTGTGCGAGGCGCATACTCATCACGGCCAGCCGGGAACCCAATCGTTGCGCTGCGCATGTGCCGTGAGAGTCTAATCCAACAAGAACCCGATGGCCCCCCCCCACGGGTTCCATCGCGGCAGGCATGCATTGAGCAGAGTAGTGTACTCCGTGGATAGCGCAAAGTCAAGACTCCACAACCACGAACCACGACCGTGGCTGCGAGGAGCTTGTATCTTACCTCCTTGGCACGCTTGGGCAGAGACAGGTGTGAGAGGGTCTCCACGATGCTGTGTAACCACCGGGGGAGGGGAGAGTGGGCGGGCGGCCATGTGCCTGCCCCTCGGCGCCGAGAAACGATTTCCGTTGTCACCAGTTCTTTCTGCTTTCCGTATTGATTGCATGTATACTTGTTACTTCACAGTTACACAACGGTTTCTCTACTCTCTGAACTCGTGACTCTGCAGACTCCAAATTCCAGAGGAGGAGCATCCCGATATCGCTCTCGATCAATGAAGCATCACTGCGCCGGTCACCTGCAGATCACAAGAGCGATATCGGAAGCTCGCTGTATCTGTGACTCAGTCGTCCCGCCCGGGATTCCCTTATCCACCGAGCTCGGTGAAGTCTGTGCTCTTGAGTTTGTCTAGTTGTTGGTTCGCAGAGGTTTGCTGGAACTTGGGATGTGAGAGTAGAAGGAAATTGTTCGACAGGGGTGGACGGGGGAGGGACGATAATCCTAGAACCCTGCTCCCCGGGGCCGGGCGGGCGGGCGGACGGGGCCATGTCACGGAGGTACACTACTTTGAACGAACAGTAGACTGCAAGTGACTAACATTCGACCTGGATCTTCCGATCAACTGCCGCATCTACTTGTTCACAATGTTTTCAACTGTCAATATAGACGATCCTAAGAGAAGATCTGTGATAGTGACGGGTATTGCAGTAAACTTGGAGCTGGCTGACATTGGGAACCGAGCCGTCCCACCTAGTCAAAAGATGTAGTGCCGTTAGTCCAGCACGTCCAGTTACCATTCGGCCGGGAACAGGAAGAAATCTCTTCCTTAGTATGTGTTATACTCTAAGCGACGTCTCCAAGTCGAGTCCACTACAACTCAAGTCAGTTGAGAAAAGCATGTCGTCATAACGTTCCGACGGAGCGTTCACTTTGCAGAGTCGACTAGCGCAGATCGGGGAGAATAACAAAACAAACAAACGGCATATTCCACGATGGGTAAACCAGTGCAAAATACACCTTTCCCACTACCCGAGTCTGGATCTCTCCTCCTAAGTCCCTCCATCGGCAGATCTCCTTGCTCCCACATGGACACATTTTCCCAGTCGCAGATCCGGAAGGGAAAAATGGGTTGACAGTCCCGTGAGCTAAGACTTGTAGTCGAAAAGCCTCTTTGCGCCTCTATATGATGTAATACCGAACGAGGGAGGGGGACCTGGGCTCAAGCCGCACCGGCGAGAGCGGGAAGAGTCCAAGACCCTATGTGTCTCAGTGGGAAGGACAAGCAAAATTTTGCAGGGTCCAGAGTGCCCAAGGCGGTCGACGTCGGATGTGCGTTGACTGACGATGTGGCCCAAAGTCCTCCATTGTCAAGCCAGGAACACTGCCCTCAGTCTTTTGTGCCAATGTCTTAATGATTACTGCAGGATCTCCCCGGGAGGCGGTGGGGATGGCGATGGGAAGGGGACATCAAAGTGAGAATGTCTCAACGGCATGTGGGCAGAGACATCTCCCGTTTGTCCTCGTAAAGGCCCCCCCCCTCTCAACCGCCGTGGCCGTCTCTTTGAACCCCTCACGATGCTGACGACGTGCGATGCTCGAAGGACCGCATTCGGTGGCATACCTAGAAAGGTACCGGAAACAGAAAAGGTCGCTCAAGCAATTCGCCAACAGCCAAGACACGTACCATACCTATACAGGTCCCAGCCGAAGACAGATAAAAACGGGTCGCGAACGAGTTTATCACCCCTTGGCTCTTTAGCTCTTTAAGCTCTTTAGCTCAACGCTAACTTACTGTCATGGACTTGACCTCTTGGTGGCCTTGGCTCTTCTCGACCTGAAAGCTGGCTGTGTTTGGTGGCTACCAAACCAACAACACCACCCAAGGGAAAAGAACGCCCAACCCAGAATCGATCCCTCCGTCGCTCTCTGTAGACTGTGGTAGTTTAGCAACGATCGGATTCCCGTCCCAGAGCTCAGGTCGCACCCGCATCGGCCGCCGCCGCCTAGCGAGAGGCACGGATGCCAATTGTCGTGAGCCGCAAGCATAAGACACGCGACGCCACGTCCCGCTTGGTCCAGAGGCCTGGACAACCTTGCCCCCATAACCTACCAAGCGCTTGGAAAATACTGTAGAGAGGCTCGATGACACTATGGTAGGCGTTGACAGTTGTTCCTATCGTCAATGCCATCACAAATTTCAATGAAGCCGTTGCATATGTGCGAGGGATGTTCTTGTTTTCTACAATATTCTCACGCCACCATGACTTTGTATGAATTTCAGTATACATCATACATTATGTTGAAGAGAACCAGACTCACAAATAGGAGCATATCGTTCTCATCACCACGTCTAGCTATCGATTAACATGGCGCGGTAAAGAGAGCGAGTGAAGATCCCTCCGCCCATCACATCGATACCAGCCCTCTTCCGGCGAACCGGGAACCCAACCCATCCAAAGAGCCCCATCAAGCCACCGAAAGCCACTGCCGCGAGACGCTTGTGAGAATTTGGCCCGTACGGCCGTCGCGGCGTAGACCGGCGGCTTTGAAAAGCGTCGAGTGTGGCTTTCTCAGTAGGTCCTCCACGCGGGGTGCATGCCGTTCTGCGTGTAGAACGGCAGTGCATATGGGGAAAAAAACGACGGGAGAGCTATATGATGCTCTCGCAAGGGAAGAAAGACTGAGAAAATGTCAAAGTCCAGAATGGTATAAGTAAACGTCTTGTCCCGGATGCCATTGTGATAATTTTTTTTGATAGACCAGACAGCCTCAACTCTCTCACACGACAACATCCTCCTCACCTCTCTCGCCCAAGACCAACACAACCTTTTCACTAAGGTCTAATCATCTTCAAAACCCGGTCTCTAATAACTAATCTATCAAAATGGCTCGCCGCGCTTCCCTCATCGTGACAGCCCTCCTGGCCGTCTGCGCCTCCGCGGCTCCCGCCCCGATGCCCCAGCGCTCGGCAAAGATCACGGCCGTCAAGAACATCTTCACCGTCGGCAACATGTCCTTCGCCAACCGGCTGTACTGGGACTTCAGCAAGCTCACCAACGGCGCCAAGGTCCCCAATGGCCTGCGCGTGAGCGGCTATCCCGTCAGCGACACCCACGTCTTCGTCACGCAGAACGCGTACATCAACGGCGGCTACCTCAACCTCAAGGTCGACGGCGGCCAAAAGGCCAAGCCCTACAAGTCTGGCGAGGTCGTTACCGTAGCCCAGAACATCAAGTACGCCTCTGTCCGGACCGTCGCCATCTTCTCCGAGCCCGCTGGTGTCTGCAATGGTAAGCCTTTCCCGACGGATCTACCTCATCATCATCATCAATGGTTCTGAAGACTAACACCCAATCAACAGGCATCTTCTTCTACAAGAACGACAACCAAGAGACGGACATCGAGTGGCTCTCCGACGCCAACTCCCAGAGCAACGCCGGCAAGCGCCAGGTCTGGTTCGCGAACCAGGCCACAAGCAAGACCTCCGCAAAGTCCTGGCTCTCCGCCCTCCCTCCCCTGAACCCGACCTCCACGGAGCACGAGTACCGCATCGACTGGATGCCCGGTGTCGTCCGCTTCTTCGTCGACGGTGTCCAGACCTGGCAGACCACCCAGAGCGTGCCCTCGCAGGCCGGCCCCTGGGTCTTCAACAACTGGGCCAACGGCGACAAGGGCTGGAGCGCCGGCCCCCCCGCCACCGATGCCATCTTCAAGATCAAGGAGATTGACATGTACTACAACACCGCGTAAGAAGCCTACTCGGCCAGACGGATCGAAAAAAACAAGGGGCAAGCTCTTGCACCACAGTTCGGACTTTTAAATTTCATCGTACATAATTTTTGGATAACGACAAGGCAACCAATTCATGAAGGGGAAAAGGGTCTTTGGACAAAGGGAATTGGACATAATGAGGAGGAGGAACGGACAACTTTGATGAACAAAATGGAAACGATTAATGAGGGGGGGGAACATAATAACGAGAAGGGCTTAATTCATAACCATAATACAATAGTAACAGACATAATAATACAGAAAATCAGACAACTCCAAATCACGTCATCGTCAAGTGCCACACAGCATCCGTTGCGCAACATTGCGAAGGATTGCAATGCCCGCAGCAACAAGGGCATGGCTATGCAAGGTAGGCAGGCCACAATCCACGAGAGAAAGAAGAGAGCTCCTCATCTTGTCGTTGCCTGTCACGATGTCCGCGGGAAAAAAGCTACTGTCAAAGCTATGAACAATCAGGGTCCCCACGATCGCCCACGATATGGATGGACCCCGGAAAGTATGAAAAAGGGTTAGCGGGTTGAGGATCATCCCATGCGAGGACAGGGGTTGCTTTTCGACTTTTGGGATGCGACGAGCTTCTTGCGGTTGGGTTCGTCCGCTCCGCAAGCCTCCGCTCCCGCCCGCCCGCATAGAACGCTCCATAGATAAGACCTGTCGCTTGTTCGTTGGTGTATGGATTTTTTTTCACCCTTGTGCGAACCAGAGATCGTCTTCGCGCCCACGCGTGTGCATTGTGGTGGCCCACGATGCGAGGATGCCGTCCATGTCGTCTGTTTTTCGTTGGCCCGAAGACATTCCGAGCCCGTTTCGGCCCCAGTACCCGCAAACGGGATAGCTCTTGAGCCTCATGAGGACAAGCTTCGGGCGAGGAAACGGGGAGAAAGGCACGAATAGCTCACCATGCTTGGGATGTCCGATGATCGGGGGAGACCTGGGGTTGACTTGGTTCTCTCGTTGGTTTTTGCAAAACTCTGTGAATCCTCACGCCCCTCATCTAAGTCGGTCCTCATTTACGCGATGTTCTGGACCTCTGGCCAAAGATTTGGACCGGGGGGGGGGGTTTCCCCTCGAGACGGCTCAGACGAGACAGGCAGACGTGAGTGCGGTTCGCGAACCTGTGAGAGGCTCAAATGCCGTTATCTTGCATGAGAGCTTCCCTTCCAACCCCCCCCCCCCCCCCCCCCCCCCCCCTGTCTCGTCGTGCTCATCGGGATGGCGTCCAAAGGGTCCTGGGTTCCTGTCATGGAGGGTTGACAACCCCACCAGTCCGTGGGGTATGTTTTTCCAACAATCCCGAAAGTATCCGACCCTGCCCGGTGTGCCTGGGTGATGAATGGATGCGTGGGATGAGGTGTGGAAGCGATTGGTGTATCTAGCTGAGAGCATTTGCTTTCTTTGGGTGTTTGTCCGCAAGAGCTGAAGCAGAAATTTTCGTCGATTTTTGCTTCAGCTTTCAGCCTTTTCAAAGGCCCTTTTCAGCTTGTAAGCGAGGACGGGACCCCCCTTATGGCCAGCTTTGCCTGATACTAGGCAAACACCGTCAGCAACGCGTACGACGACCAATGGCGAGCTCCAAACGCAAGACGTGGTTGAAATTTTCCCTTTACCTAGGTAGAACTGAGCCGGTAGCTTGAATTGAATTGGGGGCCCATTTTCCACTTTGGCTCGGTGTTTAGGCCACCGAGGTTCACACCCCATCAAGGTGAGCGGCGGAGAGGGGCTCATGACAATCGGGCGCGGCTGCTCGGCTCACCTTGATGGGCTGGCGCTTTGCAGATAGTAGATAGCGGCAGATAACTTGAAGAAAGACCATGCTGTCTGCCGTCAGTGACGAAGCTCGAAGGGGAGGGAGGGGTCGTGAGCGTGGTGTTGAAACTCACAAGTTAGATGGCGTGCATATCGAGAGACTGCCGCCCGTAGAAGTCTAGACGAAAAGAGGCATGCCGAATGGCCACGCACGTCGTTGCGATGAAAGGTGACGTTTTCCCCCCATACACGTCTGTCTGCGCCTCTGTGCCTCTGAGTCCCCCCCATCCCCCCATACACAGTAGGCAGAATATCTGTTGATCCCTCGGTCCAGGATTATCGTCGCCTTTTGCCGTAAATCTCGGGAGTTGCGTCCGAACGTAACCCTCCGATGCCAAGCTGGTGGGAATATAGAACAATCTAATCAATCATCAATCAATCAGTAGCAACAAACTCTACTCGGACTCTCGGATGATATGGGAATGGGAAAAGGAAAAAAAAACACCAACGTCCCCCCACGCGAGGCAGAAAAAGGCTGATTGATTGAGTTGCAGCGTGGTACTCCGTACGCCCACCGGATGCAAGCAGAACTTTCGATGCGTGACAGGCATGCAAGAGAAACTCTCCAGAAGCCCCCGGTTCGGTTTCTTCTCGTAGGGATGGATGTAAGTTCAAATCACAGGCCGACACGCAAACGTGCCTTTTTGGGTTTACAAAGTGCCAGCCAGCCAGCAACCTTGATAGTTTCCAGACCATGACGGAGTATCTGGAAGATAGCAATGCAAGAGTCTCAGTGGACGACGTCGAATGCTGTGCGCTTGCGTATCTTGTCGCCCCAATCGATCATGTCGCGGCTCTTGCTGCCGTATGCGTCTACTCCTTGAGATTGTTAACTATCACGCCGGCAGGTTGATTGCAACAATCAGTTTGTCGAATTGCATTGCGCCTGCGAGTTGCAGGCGACTCAAAGAGGCCAATTGATCACGATTTTGCCTTACGACCGCAGCATCAGCCTATCGACCGACTCCGACATGTGTGTCCGAGGCACCTCTCCACTCCTTAGATGTGATTCAGGCTGTGATTTGAGCAGAACTCGACCAACGGGTGGAAGCCACGCCAGTCAAGCCCAACTGCGATTCATGATCAGGCCTTAGCACCCGCATCTTATGTCTACTTTCGAAAAGCAGTTGACATTCTCTCGGAATACGTGACGAGATGGTAAGTGGCGATGGCGTGCCATTAGATAATATAGAAACACCATTATTGTTGTGTAGGTATGGATTCGTAGTGAACGGCAGTTGTCGTGCTCGAACAGCTCATCACATCACACCCGGCATTATTGAGGTGATCCAAGAGAGTTCCTAACCGACAGGGCAGCCAGTACGGCAGAAGCAAGTAAATCGATCAGCATCATTTGGCCACGGCCGTTTCAAACTTACGTTGCCTACGAATGTGATGGATGATGGGCACATATCCTTCACCGTGTCCATGTGTCACAGTCACCGTCTTTTTAGCTCGGCCACCAAAAGAACGTTGTGTGGTTGTGTTGGGGTCCATGGTTCTAGACTGGGGGATCGCCATATAGCGGCCATTTGAACTGGGGAGAACCACTGCTTAAGCCCACGCCGGTCGGCGTAGCGTGCATCAGGCTATTCTACCAGACGTACCAACGGACTAAAAGGGTACTTGTTTTTGGGAACTAGGTAGACAGAGTGTCGATCGTTCATCCAGCACTGTTTACTAGCTCGCTTGTGTTAATGCAGAGTTGCAGATCGATGCTCGAACGAACGGCTTTGACGGATGTTGTTTCCTGGGCGGGGAACAGTTACGATTGATGTGGGCTTTCCGGTGACTTCCCACGTTGCATACCTTACAGTACACAGTACCTTAGGGTCCCAGTCATGAGGCGTCGGCGTTCCATCGGAACTACAGTAGTTGATTTGTTCTCTCAAGGTCGAGGGTGAACATTTCTGGATCATGGGATCCTCCCAAGCAGTGACATATGGGACGAGGAAACTTACGATGTATGGATAGATAGTTTGACAAGACATACGTCTAGAGCCCCGGTATGCCTGTAGGTTATAGCAAAGCGCTAGTTGCTCAACCATGCCTGTTGCCCCATACCTCCTGTGCAGTAATATCAAACTCACTCCAGTTGCAAAGACACAGAACTGGCCCAGTAGCTTGGCATCTTGGGGTATGCCCTGGGGAGTTGCAGATGAAAAATTTCCGCCGGCTGCCCTCTCCGATGCCCGATGGGTTGGGATCCCCGCACGGAAGCAAGGGGAAAAGAGGCAGAAATGTTGCATCAATACTGTGTCACGGTGAACTTGAGGAGAAACGAGAAAAAAAGAATGGAACCTCTTCTTCCTCTGACCAAACGTGATGGAAACACGTGTTCTACGACGGACGGGAAGGGACGTCGTTCATGTCAAGTTTCCACCGTCTCAACGTGGATGAAGCAGCCGCTGTGGTAGGTGGTTTGCAGCTTGCTACCTTGGACAATTGGACCCGGCCTACATAGACTTGACTAACAAGGCAAGGTAAAAGGCCGGGATGGGAAAAGGCCCACCGCCGGTGTACAAGTGTGTGACTATGAACTGTGAACTGTGAAGAGACTTCTGAACGGAAGCCCTTGCAGAGAACGGAGCCGGGACGAAGGGAAACGAGTGGATATTCAGTCAATGGGGCTCCGGGCTGTGTCGTCCTTCCAGTTTGCCCACTAAATTTATTTCTCGTGGGGATTAAGTTTTTCTCAAGCCGTTTCTGATGTGCCAGGGGTGGTTGCGAGCGCTGAGGTCTGGAATCACTAGAATCTTGAAATTTCTGCCCATTTCCACAATTTCTGGTCATCTTCCCTGCGTCGAGTCCGTCTTTGTCATTGAATTGTGTTGTTGTTACCGGGAAGGGATGATAGGTAATATCTTTCGTACTCTGTGAGCCTGTGGAGGTGAAGCGAGTGAAAAGGGAGACAAAAAAAAAACCGGAGCATGTTGTTTTTGCGGCGGGCGTCGGCGCGGCTGGCCGGAGAGGTGCCACGGATCCACGGCCATGGCTCCACGGGTCGTACTCTGTAGGCTCGCAGGACGTGGGAAAGAAAGGGAGCGGGTGGGACTGACGACGCCATCAACCCACACCCAAGGTAGATGGCACCGGACCGCCTCAAGCTCGCAGCGCCGTTCGGGAGCATGACGCCTCCAGGGGACTCGGGGCACCTCTTTGCCATTCAGCCGCTCTACCCCTAACTTCTAAGAGCTAAAATGTGCTCATTGTTGTTTTGTGAGGTGGTTTACTGTGGATATGGGTACTCCGCCGAAAGTCAAGCCGGCTCGCGATGACTGACCTGACTCCTTGAGTCGCACAGTCGTTGAAGTTTCTGAGCCGCTGAGCCTCTCACAATGGGGACGTGGGGCTCTCGGGGATGTTGGTTAGACGTCGACGGATACTGTGGTACCTTAGTTCCCTCCCTCAAAGTAACAGTTGCGCCTTTCAGTGGAGTTTGTTTCGAACTCTGTACGGCCTCTTGGTAACCCGGATGTGGCTTTTTTTTTTTAATTTTTTTTTTAATTTTTTTATTAATTGTCTTTCTCAGGGCCCATTCGTGGGGAAACGTGCTCAGGGCTGTGGATGAGGTGATGTGAAAACGTCGTATGAATCACGAAATACCGGGGCCGGGGGGATGGAGGCTTACTGCGTAGGAGGCTCCTCCGTCGCAGCCGCAAAAGCCCACAGCGAGGCCGCCGTACACATATCTAAGGCGACAGCAGACGTCTGAGTCTCGGCTGCTCTTACTGCCTGCGTAGCAACCTCGTGGGAACTGAGAATGGCCCACTCAATCCGACTCGAACGATTTGCCAGACTTCAACTCGAGCCGTGGCGGGTCGCTGACAGAAGAGAAAGAAAGGTGTTTCGGCGTCCCGTCTGTTGTTCCCCAACATGTTGTGCCCTTTGAGGAAAATTGCAACATCTGCTGATCAAGGGGACGTGCCGAAAGTGAGAAAACCGGGGACTGTGTCGTTGCGGCCCTCTCTGCCCCCGTGCTGCATTGCATCATGTTTGTCCTTTTGCTGAGAGACAGCCGTGGCATGTGCTCACTAATCTCAGTCTGGCAGTCTGGACTCACCGGAGACGTGTCCAGTTTCTCAAAATCAAGGAACGGGGAGAAACAAACACGATGGCGGTGCAGATGCGAGTAGAAAGGGCAAGACGAGGAAATACCTCATTGGCTATCCCTGATGTAGAAGCTGGCTAACAAATGCCGTACCAAAAACACGTTGACTATGGTTTTGTAAGCTGTTAGTGAATACAGTCCACGTACGCTGGCCAGACGGGCATCCAAACCGGCATACCTATGTGTGAGTTTGTTGCCGCTGCAAGGTACCTGGAGTCCTGGACCCTCGCCGTGACGCCGTGTCTTGTTTCGCTGGTCATGCAGTCGAAGCTCTCCATAATACGGGGTACGCAGCAAGGCACGTTGCATACAGCAGAGCGAGCCGACTGGCTGCCCTCGAGACGGCAGCGGCCCTTTGGAATTGTCAAGTCGCAGTGTTCATGCGTACGGAGCCCAGAAACCATCAGATCGTGATCGCTTCACTGGACGAGAGAAAAAGTCTCGGTTTCACGGGTGTCCCTTTCTGCTGTCCCTTTCAACAGTAGTGGGCGGCTCTGTATCCTTCTTCCCGCTTTTTCTGTCCCCGCAGGAAGTTCCGTTCTCCACGCGCATCAAGTGCTTGTTTCTTTCGTCCAAGGATTTTGGACGGCCCGGCGTGCGATGTACCTCCTGGCTCGATCTGACGTGGACCGGTACATTGCGTGTCTGAGGCAGCCCGCACCGAGGCCGTAGAGGTTTCGAGCGGCCACTGCATGAGGTGCCCGTACGTGAGCGATGTTTCTTGCCTGTTCCTTGAACCATTCCTTACATGAGGCGAAATGGTTGGTTGTACGTTGATGCCATTCCGAACTTGTTAGCTAACAAGGTGTCGTTATGATGCAAGTTTGGTACCGCAGTTGTATATCGAGTACAGACGGACTGCAACAGAATAAGATGCCAAAAGAGGGCTTCGGCACATGAGCAAGGGCTCAAGGCCCAGAGCGGCATGAAAGAGGTACCCGGGACCGATGGGGTGAGCTGATGACAGAATGGCGAAAATGATGCATCGCCATCGCTCGATGACAACTGGGCCCCCCTCATTCGCGTCAGACCTGGCTCTTGTTAGCCCTCGCATGGCCATTCACCTCGTCACACCTCACATCGCTCGTACCTTGTCCTCGGCTTCCCATTGATGAGGCCAGGTAGCTTGCAGTATTCGTATCGTGGGGTTTGGATCTTGTCATCCTGTGTCCAGCCGGTAGGTAATATATACGCAGTAATAGTGTACACCGTGCAGAGGTGCCCAGTCCCCTTGCCGATCGTCTCAGAAAGGGTCCTATGGTCCAGTGATCCTGTGGTGCCTCTAGGAGTGCACTCCGGTATGCCCTTCTTGCAGGTGTACCTGGCATTCTAGCATTCTAGTTTCCATCATGTAATGGTGGATGCTTGGCGACCTCCCAAGAACACTCCAAGCACCGCGAGGAAAGGTATCCGGTAGATTCGTAGTTGCAGCCACGAATTCACCATTCACCGTTCACCGCTGCTGTTTTGGAAAAGTGTACCTACTCGTTCGTACTCTGGTACCTTGGATACGTACTGCACGTGTAATGCCTTACATAATTCGAGCCCGAGAACGTCGAGGAGGAAGGAATGGATGTACGTAAAGGAAAGTACGAAGGAGGATACATGGCGAGGTGCAAGGCGGTAGAGGCAGGTACAGAGGTAGGCAAGCACAGCAGGGCAGACAAGGCAGGTACCTACTTCGGGACGTCGCGACTTTGTGACTTTGGCTTCATCCCCAGACTTCTCTCTCGGCAGCATCGTGCATCAACCTCTGCTTCTCTTTGGACTTCCCCATATTTGCACTATTAAAAGCCCTGCTTGGTCTTTTGCGCCTTGCCCTGGTCCGCACATCCCCCTCGTCTCGCTAAGTTGTCTGTCCTGACCACATACCCACCTGCATCCACGCACGCAATGCCCTCTTCTGACTTCTCGACCTCTCACACAATCGCCGACGACAAGGGTCCCGGGTTACCCTTCTGGGTACGAGTGAGCCGCCCGCAGAGAGGAAACCAGACAGGCTTCCCCCGTCCATCGCAGGCCTGCAATCCTCTCCACCCAGAGGTAGTGTACGAAGTACAGATACTGAAGCCTGGCTTCTTTGATGCCATAATCCCCGTGACTACGAGGAAGCAACGGCGATATAAACCTCGGACCCCGATCTAGAATCTCGATCTGAAAAGAAAGGGCAATTTTTTTTCTTTCTTTCGCTAGCGAACCCGTTTCCTCAACCACGTCAATAAGTCGGTGAAGAAGGAACCCCCCCCGACCAGCGGCTAGACAAGAAACGAAGACGGGGGAATAACAAAAAAATAATTTAATTTATTGCGCAAGAAGACATTTTCCCAAAGAATTCCATACCAAATTAGCTCGGAATACGAAAAAAGACACGGCTGCATACACATTACACACAGACTACAAAGAACGACATTTTATTCTCCGGTCTCACACGCAAGAGGCAACCCACCAGTCCTCATACAGACGCAGCGGCTAGCCAGCGAGAGGCCAGAGAGCTCATTCCTAGCTTTGCTGCCCTTGCTTCCCACCGCTTCGTTCGGACACAAGCAGATCAAGACGGCCACGCCATACCCTTCTCAGCACGAGAGGGTTCATCAGGGTGTCTGGCCTCCGGTCGTCGTTGCTACTTGGTACACCTGTAACCGCACACAATTGCAAGCTACAGCACGGTATCCGTACGGTTTGGGTGGTATTCTCGCTGCTGTCATCGGCAGAGTTGAGACGACGGACGAATCGGCGGCGCTTGATCCATCTCATAGGCTGGAGGTCCGTCCGCACCACGACATCTCCGCTTTCGGCGAACCCACGGCCTTGCCTGTCCTTGCGTCAATCCGAGGTACCTTGCGTCTTTGCGGGCTTGTTTGGGTAACCAGGTTGAAAAATTCACAGAGGGGAGACAGAGGGAAAGAAAACAAAAATATCCATCCATCAACTTGCAAGGGAGTGACAAGTAAGGACGGCAACGGAAAGAGTCACACTCGACCGGGCTCCATTCATTCAACAAGAGCCATTGAACACTATTCAAGAGTCAAACTTGAACCGTCTGCGGAACTACATATGTTTCCCGGCTCCAGTTCTGTCCCGGTTCCAGGAGCCTCATCTGTCGCCAATTGCTCTCTCGCGTCGCCTTGACATTTCCTCGGCAATCTCGTCTTTGACTGAGTGATCACTACGTCAGTTTGGCTCTATTTCGTCTCAATCCACTTGGATCCCGCCGTCCCCTCTATCGAGCACCTAGAAGGGCAACCCACCTCACACTCACACACCTGCTGCTCGGCTTTCGCCTTGCTGATACACAAATCGCATCTCTCTTTCGCAAATTCCCACCCCCGAGCGGAAGACGGACAACGGGCCAATTTGGAGCTAGCCAGCCCTGGTCCCCGCACTCGCTCTCGACTCTGGCGTCATCGTGCTTCCTACGAGCTGTTTGATTAATTCCTCGAGAGATCCAGGCCGGAGCAAACATTGTACAGCACCCAGCAGAGTAACCTACCTCCTAGTTCCGACTTGCAGACCCCGGTTATCCTTGGAGCGAGAACAAACAAGCGCTGTTGCAAGCCAACCCCGGTCTCTCACCTCACACTCTCTCTCTCTCTCTCTCTCTCTCTCTGAGCCTGGAGACTCAACCCGCACACCTCTCTCCGAGTCTGAGTCTCTCACACCACCCACCACCTCGCCGGGTCTCACCAAAAAGATACCTACCTAGCACGGTAATAGCAACCGTCAGCGCAAGTACTCTCCTCAGTCTCTCCTCAGCCGAGCTAGCCCTCTCGAAAAAACACATCCGGCCAATCCTTCCTGCAAGCTTGCAGCACCACATCAGACCTGCTTGGACTGGCGGCACGCCTCTTTAATTCCCTTGACCTCCCATCCCATCTTATCCTATCCCGTCTTGCCCTGGACACACCTCTCTCTTCTCTCTGTGTCTCTCATTCCTAGACCTGTCTCTTGCATTAAAAACTTCCCGACTGGCCTGATAGGAGGAACACGGGCTCTCTCTCCAAGTTTTCTTTTGGAGAATTGTATCAGTCACGGTCACGGCGACGGTCACGGTCACAAACCTGCACCACATTTGGCACATCCATCCATCAGCCGTCACCCACGGGCATCCCTCACTTATCAGCTCTCGGCCAAATATACATACATATCCACTCCCACCACCCCCCCCCCAGCCAAACCCGCCGCTATCTTTCAATCCATCACCAAGACGCCTTAGCTACTGGAAATAAGGCATACCACATCAGGCGTCCCCTGCACACTGCGATAGCTCGAGACCCTTCTTAATCCTCCCAGCACCCGCTCTGACCTGCGGGGGAAGACCAACGACCGGAGAAGAAGAAAAAATCTCTTCAGCGGGCGGACAAGACACACGGAGTCACAGCCGACCACCACTCTACTTACCACCACCTACCAGTTCTTCGTACCTACACTCAACCCAGGGCCTCGAATTTGCCACTCGGAACGCGTGAAAGCAGGGACCAATTTCCTGCATTCCCATACAAGGCCACCAACAGGCAGTCTAGATTCACATCTCACCGATTGTTGCGAAAAATTTTCACTGTTGCTGAAGAAAAGGCTTCGGAAATCTTCTTCCCTCGTCCGACACTGCTTCACCATCGCCTCTGCCAAACTCGACGGCCGAGACAGAACGGACGTTCGCAACTGCAGTGGCACTACACGCTGTTGGTCGTCAATCATCGCTTCTTGGGGGAATAGAACGGCGCTACCCCTCCACCAAACCCGCCATTCCCCGCTTATCTCGTCCCGCCGTCCACCCGCCGATACAGGCACCAAAACACAGCCAACTGAGACTGAGGACTCGGAAACTAACTGTGAGCGTGAGCTGCGAGAGTCTGAGCGATAGACTACAAGAAGAACCCCTGCCAACCTCGTCGCATCGTTGGCTTGTTGTTTTCTTCTCTCGATCTTTCCTTTCCTCAGATCCCTTTCTCTCAGTCGTACATACGCCAAGAGAAAGATTTCACAATGCATCACAGCCGCAGAAAGTCGGGCAACACCTCCATGACGGAGAAGACTGTCACAGCTACCGATCCCTCCCGCTACGGCAAGCGTCCTTCAACTCTCACCAGACGCCAAACTCCCCAGAAGCTGGGCAAGAACCCCAGAGACCGGGAACGGGAACGGGAACAGCAAGACTCGTGGGATGATGAACGGGAGAGTTTCCCTCAGTTCTGGTAAGTTTGCTACGACAGCCTTTTTGTCTTTTCTCGTCTGTTCACTGTTCATTCTCGTCGTTGCTTCCTCACCCTCACCCTCACCCTCACTCTTACTCTTACTCTTACTCTCACTCTCACTCTCACTCTCACTCTCACTCCCCGATCTGGACATTTGTGCTTCCTCAACGTCGCCATGTTCTAGATTGCCAACCCCGCAACATGCTGTCTTGCAACATTGTCCGTCATCCAATCTTTGTTGCAGATTGTCATCCCGTTCGGGAGCTCTGCAGTGTCACGACGGACGCCCATTGTAGCGCGCGTTGCTATTCTCCCGATGGGTGTCTACACACTCAAATTCCCGTTCGAGCCATTGTGCCCACCCTATTGATTGAACAATTCGCTGACTGGCCGTGTGATCTAGCATGACTTGCGAAAAGCAATTTGTACCTCAAGACGACAGGTTCCTGTACTGCTCAGAATCGTAAGCTGCCACCTCCAAAGGACGAGTTCTAGAATGAACGGGCGTTACAGTGACTTACTGACACTACGCAGATGCCGCAAGCATGATCAGCAAACCGCATCAACTGGCAGGACTCAGAGCCAACTGCACATGGGCAACTACCCTTTCTACGCCGCATGCAACCCCGAGCCCAGAGACATTGTTCCTCGCGCTTCCCCCTCAAGGCCGAACTCGATGCACTTCTCGCCGCCCACAACACCAGGTGCCACTACCGGCGCGCAATACTCGTCCGCCATCTCCGCGTTGAGGTCACTCAGCATCCGACCCCCAAGCCCGCCGTCCCCCACATCGTCGCACGCCAGCATCTGGCCCTTTACCAAGAGCAGCACCAACAGCCCCAGCACATCGTACAACCGCGGCAGCAACAGTTTTTTCCCGGCCACGTACGACGGAGGCTACGCAGCGAATGGCTACGCCTACAACTACAGCTCCAGCGGTATGGATCGGCCGCTACCGACGCGGAGACCCACTGGGCCGGGCTACTCGAGGCCGAAAAGCATCGAGTTGGTGACGCCCATGGTCGGTCGCTAGACACCGCCAGACGGGGACCGTGTCGGGAGGCTGTACCACGACTCACCTGGTTCAGTTGACCATTACACAACCGCACGGGGAGGACTGACACCTCGTCACCCCACGGGAATGACGGTGTGCGTGCGCTCGGCGGGTTCGATGGGTCTCCCCTCTCGTACTCGCCTGTATAACCCCAGCCCCAGAGCGCGGGGTTAGCGTCGATTTCGAGCACCGGGAAACGCGGGGGCAGCCACGGAGGTGATGAGCCGACAAGGGGAGGTGATCCATCTCAAGCTCTCTCATAGTGGCCTTCCGGGTGTCACCTTTCCGACTCATCCGCACCCCTCTCACCGGTCATTACCTCCTCGTCTGTCCCCCGCAAATCAACCCCACGAAAAGTGAAGAATGGCGTCTCGGCAGACAGACTAGCATTGCGACTTGTGGGGGCTTCATTTGCGCATTTGCGATTGTTTTTGGACTGCGAAACGCCATGGCTTCGGTCATGTGAGGGAGGGGAGATTCGGGCAGGATCACAAAAAAGTTGGGGGTTGCATTGACATGGGGGTATAGGCATTAATGGGCATTTGGCAAAGCGATTTGGGGATGGTTAATCCTGTCTTGGTTTGCAGCGAACCTGTTTGGTACACCACGCCGAACCCATCAAAAGCACTCGGAGGTTCTATGAGATACTCCGTGCTGCGGGTTTGGAAGGTAATTCCTGACGGGGGTTGTTGTTGTTTTTCATCATCATCTCATATGACGGGTTCTTCAAAGCCATCTGAGCATACATAGAAGGACGAGCATCTACGGAACCGGGAATAGCTAGCATCAAGGGCATTGCGGATCTAGTATTCGGGCGCGCATTTCACATACTTGAACCCAGAGGAGGCACATGGCGGATACAGTACTCCCCCTCCTCCCAATGGGACAATTTCATATTTTGTTTAACAACAGTTAGCATCAATGAGCTCCAGCGGAGCATGGTCCGTCATAAGACCAAGGAATTGAACAATTAGTACAATTGAACTGTCTCAATTCTGTCAAAATCGAGTGAGCTGACTTGACTACAATTGATCGGCGCCGCCGAGTCAATGACGGAAAGCCGAGGTGAACGGCATTAGACACCTCGGAGGTAGAATCTCAATCGTCTGATCCACACACGCGAGACCCTCCCCCCTCGGGCCTCACGATATGCAATGTTGCTCCCCCGGACGTACATGTCGATTCACTCTTTTCCTGGTGCGGTCTTCCCCGGAATCGTGAAGTGGACGGGCGGGGCCTGGCGATGTGCGACACTGACTCGGGGGTGCCAGCGTCACAAGTAGGCGTGGCAGGCAATAGGTAAGCGGGCAAGTGAGAGAAGAAGAGGGAAAGAGAGACGCGCTCGACGCGAAAGGTGTGACGACAGAGCTGATTCCACGGATGAACAAGTCTGGGAATGCCGTGATAAGAGGATCGACTTGTGTGATTAGGGAGCTCTTTCGTCTTTCCCCCGCGGGGGTTAGTTTGGCGGTTTTCGGGACAGGCAGAGCAGACCCGACTACTTGCCGTACGGATAATGATGTACAGCTTACAGGATTGTAGGTTACAGCAGGATCTCGATATTAGATTGGCACACCACATCCAATGATCCAGTGGGGTTTGTGTGTATCATTCGGGGTTCTAGACCACTATTGTCGAGGAGGGCATTTTGCTGTGCCGCTTTTTTGTTCTTTTTGCTGACGGGGTCTAGACTTTTTCAGGGTTGGGGTTTTTTTATTACTTATTGCAAGTGAAGGATTATTGATTACCTTGGTGTTACACAGCATTGGGGGTTGCTGGGGAGGTCAGAGAGAGAGAACGAGGTAGGTAATAGACGATTACTTTGTCAGCAATTGATCCCTGATCAAACTGATCTGTCCGGTCTCTTGATGCGGCCGTTCAAATCCAACGGCTCCTTTTTCCAGGATATCCCGATTTCCCCGTTCAATCATGCCCTTTCTGGTTTCCCACCATTCTCCTGGATAAGACCGTTGGGTTAGGGTCCCCCATTCCGTGTCATTTTCGCGTTCCAGGCTTTGCTTTTCCAGCGGGCGCGGGAGAATTACGGCAGTGGGCTAGCGGCAGATGGAACATGCGCTGAGTGGGGGAGGGTTTCCTGGATTTTGCATCGTGACATTCAGCCGGCGCCCCAGCATCACTCGGTTTGAATGGGACCGAGGCTAGTGATGATGCTTGATTGAGTTGGGGCATTTGATGACGTTGGCGCGGATTGTGTCAGCAGGGAGATAGAACTCTCGGCAATGGGGGAACTCTTGGGGTTCTAGGGGATTCCATCACAGAGATATCACAGATTTTTGGATGATTGTTTTCCGTTCACGATGTTTGATTTGATGATGGTGAAAAGTGAGGCTGTTGTCCTCCTCCGAGTCATGTGCTTAGGCTCGTGATGGGGATTTTGTCTTGTGAGATGGTGGTGATGGAGATGGTGGTGATGGAGAGGTGTGAATGGTGTGTGCGATGACGGATGGTCTGGGAACGAGTCGAGGTCTCGTGATGAAGGCCGATGATGGCGGATGCTTGAACGAGGTGGGGGGGGGAGGAGCAAAGGTAATGTAGGCTAGACCACCGTCTTTGACCCGAAAATACGTGACGACGGTGACGAGCGAATAGGTGAGCGATGATGGTCCCAAGTGATCGGGGCGAGGGGGGGCAAAGCAAGGCAAGGGCGGTGAGCTTAACGCAGGTTCCAGTGTGCAGTGAGATGTTGTGAGTGTGTGAGATGCCGGATTCCGGGACTAGTATCATGCAAGTCAGGCACGTAATGTAGGTACGGTGCGGCGGAATGCTCCAAGGTGGGAACACTTTTTTTTTTTTTCTATTTCGTTCTCCATCAAGGTGAGGTGAAAGGAGGTGTGTGTGTAGGTGTGCGTAGGTGTGAGTGGCCTGGGTTTTGGGGGGGCTGGGGCTGGGCACAGGTGAGCATGATCGGGTTAGGATACGGGTGTTCGAGGTGAACCTGACCGATGAGAGTCGGTGGTGGTGGTGGTGGTGGTGAGGATGCGGCGGCTGAAGCGCACTTGACGCTGCGACCGCGTGAGCGATGATGGGAGTGTGTAGGGGGGGGGGGGGGGGTCTTGTGCTACCTAGTGTGATGAGATGGATTAGATTGTGCGTGATTGTGTGAGATGACGTGAGGCGCGGGGCATTGAGTCGTGTTTGTGAAGGGCGTTGGGTTCCTACCTAGGCACCCAAGTTAGGTAAAGAAGGTACTTTTTTTTTTTTTTTTTTGAGGCTATCTTGTGTTGTTCGGGGAGTTTTGCCTAGTCAGCACGATCTTCTTAGTGGATGAGCTAAGGTGAAGGTGGTGGGTTTTCCTTGGTGCTGTTACTGCTGTGTAAGGTAGGTAGATAAGATTGCCTTGGGTTCTCTTGGTGATAGGTGGGATAGGAAAGGACTGGTGTGGTTGGTCTATGTCCGTAACTAGGGGCGGGATGTTATAGATGCGAGATAGGGTAGTCTCGGTTTATCGTATAGTACGAAGCATCCGTACGGAGTAGATTGCAGCGCCATTCCTTTACCTACCTATCCGTACCTAGGTAGAATCATTGGAGGGGCTGGAGAGCGGGAAAGCAACTCGAGCAAATGATACACTGCGATTTGAAATACGTGTCGCAAGGTGTTGCCATTCAGGAGGGGGAACAATTTGACGAGAGCAATTTAGAACCGGTTCTCGGGATGTGATGGGCCTGTCGAGGTATGATTGTAGAGTCTCATTTCGGGATCTGGTCCTAGACGATGCCACCACGTTTGTGACCTGCCACGCACCCGCGGCACACTTGCCTGACTCTTTCGGCCGGCTCTGCAGGTTTGCCGTGATTTGGGAAGGTGTTCTGTCCGTACCACAGTAAGGGGGGGGGGAATCGGCCGGGTGTGGAGCAAAAGGACAAATGTCGGCGATGCCGGTGTTGTTCGGAGTGGAGTCCGGGTCCCCGGTCTCTCTCTCACTCTCGGCGGTCCGGGGGGATGGAGGGTGGGGGTCGTTTTTTCCCTTTCGCCCACGAGTCTGGGTGTGACCATCCGATGCTGGACAATGACTCTCATCCTTGCTCGAGTGCTGCTATCGCGATGAATTTTCGGAAAGGTTATTGTGGGAACAAACGGCAATCGCTAGGTATACACGGAGCCGAGCTATGTCACGTGTCTTCGGCACGTGACACACCTCAGCTCCCTCCTTCCATATCACGAGCCTTCGCGTTTAGATACTCTCCTTAACAAGAACAATAACAACAACAAGAACACCAGATTAACCCAACGATATTGCTACCGATCGCGATACCAGGAATACCTGTGTGACTAACCTGTGGTACACGCAAACCAACAGTTATATTGACGGCGGTGTCATCGTCGGTGGTTTTGTGGGATGGCGGTTTCGACTTTTTCCCATCCAGCGCTCTTTCCGAGGGGCGGTTGTGTCGTGCATGATTGAGTGCATGGTGGCTTTTTAGGTGGGCCGATGATCGCTCTGCTTTTTTTGGATCATGTCTTTTGGGGGCGAAAGAAGGGCCATTGACGACGATCGTCGAGATAGTGGCTCCATGGGAGAGAGACTGTGAAGGTGGTAGCGGAGTAAACTCCGGCTTTTTTTTGCCTGCCCGCCCTTTGCGGATACCTGATGCTGTCATGGCGCTGAAGCAGAAACTCACATGTAGCATCATCTCTGCAGCTCGAGTCAGAGAGGGCATGTTACTGGTTTGCACGTGGCTAGACGTGTTCGCGATACGTTAGAGTTGTTCACGGTAGAGTTGTCTTCCTTGACTAGCTGTTTCTATGGTGGTATGTACTAGTGAGCAGCCTGGTGCTGGTCTCTGAGCTCGCGTACATGCGCCCGACTCACTCGTGGTCTCCTCTCATTCAATATTTCACATACGTCTCTACGTCCTGCACATATTGTAGATGGTTAAGTAATTGGGCAACATCCTAATGGTAGTTGCACACACGGAGTTCACAACCAGATGGAAATGATGACTCTTCGGATCGTAGAAACTCTTTAAGATATAGGAACCTTTCAATCCAAACCTCCGACTTGTTCGTGCATGGCAAGCCCAAGCCAACAACGCAAAGGCTCCGCTTTCGCCGACGCTTCTTCAGCAGCTGCTGAGCAGTTCGGAAGTTGCCTCTTGAGCTTCTGCGCCCATCGTCAGACCAATACCGTTTCCAATTTCTTTGAAACTCATTACATTCCGTCCTTACTACCTCGTGCAGTATTCCATGGCGGAATAAACGTTAGACGGTGTCGGGAAATGAGTTCTGTGATATGCTGTATTGAGAAAATCAGAGTCTTTCATAGACGTCCGTTAGATATTGCGCGGAGACCACCGTTATCCTATTTGTTAACAGCCCATGACGCTTTTAGTCTTTGCCACTCAAGCCTAACAAGTGGCACGATATATAGGTTGTCGAGCCTGAAGCTAGGTTTTGGAAGTTGTCCCCGTGGTTAGATACTTGTCGCTGGGGCAGAAAGCCAGCGTACGTTAGGCTCTAGCTACAGAGAGACGTTATCAATAGATGAACTACGCATGGGTTCTCGGTAACCGAGCAGGGCGAACGAAGTCTTCCTTTCCAGACTTTGCAATACGTCTCTGCAGTTGTAGAGCGGCACTGAAGCTTTTCGTAGCTTGTTTGCTTCCATGAACTCATGTTTTCTCCAGATCTCAGAACACATAAGTTTCTTGGCGATTCTGCTTCGATCAAAATCACACTTCATGCTTCAGAAGATGGAAGCAGCCTGTTTTGGGGGTTTCTAAACGTACTTCAATACCATTACCTTGCGGTTCATATAGGGAGAGCGCCGTTTCTTCGAGCGTAAGTATGGATGAGTGGTCGTCGGATCACCTTCTACCATCCCTTCGGTATGCAAATACTTTGGGATGTTTGGAATTATCTGCTCAGGCTACTGCTGTATGAGCGCAGCCTTACCTGGCAAATTTTGGAAGGGATCGATACCGGGGAAATGGAATTTGGTCTCGGGACAATTTGCCCCTGTTGAGGAAAGTGACATTCGTCGTCAATAAAACCACTAAGATCATAGGACCACAGTCGACGCGACATCTTCCGTTCGGAGACATGCCATTATCAACATATCAAATCCAGTGTATTCGAATCATAGTAACAACGAGCTAACCTCATATAGTAAGGATAACCCCTCGTACCTTAGACTAGGTAGGTCTTGGGTTCTTTGTCCAACCCGACCTGCATCACGTTATTGACTATGATCATGATCCGCCCCTCGAGGCTTTCCTCCATCAATTGAGTTCCGAAGGCCATCAGCCTTATTCACCGGATCTGGACTGTTCGACAAGACCAGCTACGGCCCTGACACAGACTCGATCATCCTGATCTTGACTTGCTTTGCATGCTTTGAAATGTCTTCCGCTCCCCTGAGCTGCTCTCTAGCTTCTGCATCCAGCCCATGCGTCAACCCTGCCAGCGAGCTACCTTTCCAGGCCGGGAGTCGTAGCCTCCTAGTCTCAAGCATCGAGAACAGACAAAAGAGACATCCACCGAGAAGCACACCGAATGGTAGCGATATGAACCCCCATCTTTAACACTTATGTGAACGACAGACTCATAACTCGTCCCGAAATGGGGTGTGGAGTTCAGCGAAACGTCACGCATCCACTTGGTCATCGCGAGGGCGGCTATCTCGAACATAGCCGACAAGTTCTGCGATGTACCAAGTTCTGCGATCACAGAAGGCTGCTCGAGGGTAGATATTGTAGCAAAAGTCGGATAGACTAGTTGCTTCGATTCTAAAGGGGGGGGGGACGCCTGGCAAACTTGTCCATTGAAATAGCCGCCAGAGTGGTGATGGCGGCGTCGGATATGTTGAACGACAGGTCGTTGTTGCTTATCAGTGCAGTGACGTTGTCGTTGACGGGTATCTGAAGCTGCAGATCTGTTCGCCGGAAGTCCCCGAGGTCATGAAAGTCGAGTGTGTAATTCGAAACCTTATCCAAAGCTTTGGATTGATTCAAACTATTCAATCCTGGAAATGCTGAGTAGGAGTCGAGATTCCGAATCGAATATGAGCCGAGAACCTCTTCGTTTAGAACACCTTCGTTGACAGTCGAACGACAAATGTTTGTGCAGAAGGACAAGGCGCATTCAAGAGCAGTGGCGCCACTGCTTCTCGGAGTGTTGGTATTTACTCTCATCATGGCGAATGAGACAATCAAAGCTCTTGAGTTTTGGAATGAGAGCGTACTCCCGGGTTGTGTTGTAGACTGGCACGTGAACTCGACTTGTGATCCTCTATTGTCAAGATTAGAAATGATCATATTCATCGTCGGGAGTTCGAATTTGGTATAAGCATTGTCGCCATCAGGACCGCTCATGTACCCTGGAGGAAATGTCGTATCCTCACTATTTTCAGCATGACCTGTGGACTTCACCAAATGGGTAGAAATGTCATTGCATGCGCTGCAAACTGCCAACGAGGCGTGAGGGGGCCAAGTGCAGTTTCCTGTTGCACAAGTGAAAGCAAATTGCTGATTGCTGTGGGAACTGAGATTGTTGAATGCTGTCCAGATGGCGGAAATCGAGCCGAAATCGTATTCGAGCCACATTGGAAGGGGCGCCATCCCTAATGATTTCACTGCGGTCTGTGTTTGAAATTCAAACGCGTATTCGAGGCTCGCTATTTTGCCGGTGTCGAGTCTCTTCGTTCTGCCAATTTTGGCCACTATGCGTAGCCCGGCTGACTTGACTTCTTTTTCGTAAAGTTCGACGACCGCCTGAAGAAATGGCTCGAATCCAAGCAAGACGACGGTTGCTAACGCACCAAAAGATACCCAGTGCCTGCAACGTTTAGCTAGGTAAATTATGATGTGGCGGGCATCAGGTACCTGTGCTTGATACACCACAGAAGGCGGGCGCTTCCCAAAGGGCCACGTCCTGCTTCCTCAAACCGGTCATAGTTTATCATGTAATCGTCCTTGCGTCTGAACCAGTGCCATTTCTCCTGGATCAAACAAGCGCCGATGGCGAATGCAAGAGTAGCTCTGGATACAGTTCCCAAGATAGAGATGACTGTGTTAAATGTAAAGAAGGACCACGTCGATAACGGCTTTCCATCGTACGCCAGGAGAAGGGCAGTGACCGTGGCCAAAGCTGCGATGCTCAAAATAAGAGCACAGACCTCCGGTGTCCAATTGTATTCATTGGAGCTGACCTTTGAACCTTGATTATTGGTTTTGTTCGAGGTGAAGCTACTGGTTTCGGTTGTAGAGTCGTTGACTGGGTCGATGTTTGAAGCCGAACAAGAAGCCTGGGACCGGTGTAGAGCCCCGTAGTCTATACTGATTGAATTTCCCGGTTCCATTGAGGTATCTGCAGTATTTGGGAGGGGTTTTCGTGGTATCGCCATCGTGATCATTGACTCGAGAATGTGGAAAATGCAGGGGGTCGGCGAAGGTCAAAGATATGCTCAATATATAGGTAGGCTGCCTCAATCGGTAGTTGACATGCCACTACACCGAAGGATGCGGAGTACAGCTGACATGTAAGTGGAAGGCACCAATACTCCGAGAACATGTCGCAAGTTACACGGCCGTTAACTTCGAGAGAGACCGTAGATATAGATTTTGTTATGCATCCTTCCGCTAGAATGACTGCCGGAGACCCAGAGCTCGTTATGGCGTTCGCTGGTTGCCAGCCTCTCTGCCTATCGCCAGCTCTGTAGATCTGGGATCTGTATTGGACTTAGCCTAGGATGCGGTAGCTGGAGGAAGATACTTGACTTTTGATATTCCTAGCTCTGACATGGTGGGAGAACCTTCGCAGCCGAGACTCAGTCTCTCACAAGTGACACAAGTGCTCTATACGAACGGGCACAACTCTCACCGGGCGACTTTGTTTCACATTCGTGCTGTCTAGAGCGAGCGATATATATGACTTACATACGGAAGCCCAGTGGTTGGTCGCCTGGAGTAGCACACAGACTTGGAAGCAGGCCTTTGGCTACACGGGGCTCAGCAGTAACGCGCAAATGAATAGCTCGGTGAGATGTTCTGTAGTATGTTTAGGCACTCACTCGCTGCCTCTTTCTTAATTGTGTCCCACCCCCGGAGATAGCCTGGACTGAGATGGAGGTTCGTGGAAACGCAGCTGTCCGACAGTTGGGCAAAATGGTGGTGATTGCCCAGGTTTGGAGGTCGACAACGCGCTGTAAGCGTCGGGATAAGCCGATGATATGTGAAATAGATGTATGTATCTTGCTAAGTAAGTATTGGGAAAACCAATATCAAATTGACTAAAAATGCAAAAGGTTGAGTTACTGTGACCGCGGCAGGGTTCGAACCTGCGACCTCCTCGGAGTTCAAGTGTTCACATTGTGAACGAGGAATCATAACCACTAGAACACACAGCCGGATTTGTTGAAGAAACCAGCCAACTGAGAGCTCTAATATCATGGCTGTCCCCCCGCAGCGAGATCCAGGCGTTTTTGGCACAGCGGGCTTCGCGTCAAATCAAAAGGATCCCGACAGTTGCAGGAAATTCCAGATGCTTCTTTTCTGTTTCAGGAAGAGAATGGCTTTTTTCCCTCCCAGTATTAGCTCGACGGCTTAAGTTTGGAATTGGATTTGGGTCAATGCCTACCTAGTACTTAGACTGCAACGAAGTACCGGCTTAACATATTCTGTAGACGTTCTCGGCATATTTCTCATCGCAAATCGAGGAAATGAGGTCGTAATCTATAAAAATTTCAAAATACGGTTCAAAGAACCAGGCGATTGAAATTTCCGTCCTCATTGATTGAATCCGAGGTATGTGAACTAGCCTGAAACCTCACAACAAAAGAAGGGTGGTTAGCCTTGCACCGACATCGCAACCCCACCATCCACACAAACTTGAACAGGAGGGGTCAAACAGTGACGCACCCGTGGAACTCAAGTTGATAGAACTTCTTCAATCAACAGCAAGAACACTCATAACACAGACCAAAATGACACGATTTCGCCCCTGTATAGACCTGCACTCCGGGCAGGTAAAGCAAATCGTCGGCGGCACCCTCGACAGCACAACAGCCGAGCTTAAGACCAACTTCGTCTCGACGCACCCGCCGGCGCACTTTGCGCGGCTGTACAGGGACAATGAGCTCACGGGTGCCCATGTCATCATGCTGGGGCCCGGCAACACCGAGGCCGCGCGGGAGTCGCTCAAGGCGTGGCCCGGCGGGTTGCAGGTCGGGGGCGGCATCAACGACACAAATGCAAAGGAGTGGGTGGACGCCGGCGCGGAGAAGGTCATCATCACGTCGTACCTCTTCCCCGAGGGACGGTTCAGCCAGGAGAGGCTGGATGCGGTGCTGCAGGCGCTGGGGGGCGATAGGGACAAGCTTGTCATTGACCTCAGCTGCCGGCGGCGCGGAGATGACAGATGGTTCGTGGCTATGAACAAGTGGCAGACGATCACGGACATGGAGGTCAATCAAGGTATGTTTCTAGCGGTACCAAAGTGCGTGTGCCTCAAATAACTGGCTGACCATGTGTGCAGAGTCCATCAAGCAGCTGGAGCCCCACTGCTCAGAGTTTCTCATCCACGCGGCAGACAACGAGGGTCTGCAAAAGGGCATCGACGAGAAGTTGGTGGAGAGGCTGGCCGAGTGGTGCAGCCTGCCCGTGACGTACGCCGGCGGCGGTAGGAACCTGGAGGATCTGGAGATGGTGAAGAAGCTGAGCAAGGGCAAGGTGGACCTGACGATTGGTAGCGCGCTGGACTGTTTCGGAGGCAACGGGGTCAAGCTGGAGGAGTGCGTTGAGTGGAATAAATCTCAGCAGTAGAGGAGAAATGAGAAAAGTTAGAAATCAATCAACCATCAACCCAAGGCTTGATCGGGATGACAGGCGTCACATCCGGCGGGCGCGGCGGCCGTGCAACTTAGCTGGAGGCGAGCCGGCGATGTTGTTTCAGCCAGTGCGACAAAGCAACGGTGGAGAGATGCGCTAGAAGAAGCGAGTACAAAGAAACAAAACCTGCACAACGGACTCATGGAGCTGATGTAAAACGCACGATGTCGGCGCAGACAGGCACTAGTCCCAACGTCTCGAGACCTCTTCTCTCTCTAGTTTAGTAGGTACAGATAGGTTGGTTTCTCTCGCTCTCGCGTGCCGACAGGTCCCGGGGCCGCGGCGTGTTTTTGCGAGATAAACTTACGTACGTACATATATGTACGTACATTGCATCGTATCGTACATGAGGAAAAGATGCCCTGCGTGCCCTGCACGATGGTGTGCGTCGGATCGGAAAGTCTGTTGTTGTTTTGCCCCCCTTTCGTCTGTCGCTCCTCCTCATCGTGGCTCCTCCTCTCTTGGGGCTGAAGAGGAGGGAGGGGCCAGGATATTGCGCAGTGTTTGGGGGCCAGCAGGTGCTCCTGGCTCTCTGGTGGACTGGATCCGAAGATGAGGAGGAATGACGAGAAGCCTGGAGGGGAGGAGACGTGGATCGGAACCGTCTGGAACCTGGGTGCAGGTCACGCTTGACAGGACCACCACGAAGTCAATTGCGCTGCACAATGGGACGGCATTCTCGCAGAAAATGGCTTTGCGCCGGCGGGGGCGGGGGACAAGACGGTGCAGCTCTTTGGAGCAAAGTCCAGGCGCGGCGGGCGATCTTTTTTCGTTTTTTTATACGCACACATGCAAAGTACTTGTAGACGCGAGTAATTGTATACGAATCGACATGGACGAATCAGCTATTGGGGAAGAAAGAGCACACCGAAAATCAACAATGACAATGAACAAAAACCCATAGAGAGTTGCATGGACAATCAATGGCTACCAAAAAGCCGAGTACAGGCCGCAAGGCTCGACAACAACAAGAGCTCTTCTCTTCCGTCTGTTGTGTCGGTAACCCAGAGTGACATTGGATGACGAGAAATCATAACACAGCCCACTCCTGGCGAGCACGGGCAGAGGGGGAACGTCTAAAGCAACAACGAGCTCCATATCGATATCCAGCCGACGGGCTAAAATGCTCAGAGCCCACCAAACCCACCATCTGATGGGATTGTGCGATACGATGCGATGGAGAGAAGCACGACATGCGGGAACCAAGCGTGGGCTTTCTAGGTTCAGGTCAAGGGCAAGGTCTCGACTTCTCTGACGATTGGTACTGGGTAAGTCATCATGATGACTTGACCGTGGACTGCAACAGCTGCAAGAACCCATGCCCTCAGCTGCTGTTGGCCCGGAGAATTATCATGGTTCAACAACAACATTGACGAGGGGGGAAGCCGGACAGGCAGGACATGGAGCGTAAGCCTGATGGTTTCGGGCAATAAGCAGCACGCTGTAGTACTGTACAGTCCTTGCGCGCACAGAAACGAAAATCAAGTTATTGTTGATAATTATTACTCTTCCCTCTCTTTCCTGGTCCTTCCTTTTCTTGCCCGTGTCTCCCCTCCTTCGCCTCGGATGCTTGCTTTTCTGGCTTGCCTTTGGTCTCTCTCCCTGCAGCTGCTGTGAGGTAGCGACTGACGATCAGGACTGGATTCACAGTAGATAATTCTCGAGTATTGTGTTCCGTAGGTATCCGTAAGGTAGTCCACAGTAACTCGTCGTCTTCGGCATCGGAGGCATAGACAATGAACAGCCATTGGCTATTACTCGCTCGTGTAAATCATGGATTGCATCGTAAACCGCTGAGCAGCGTCACAGAAAGGGTGGGCACGTGCAGCAGACACCCGCCCAAAGCCACCCCGGTCGTCGGCCGTTCCCCTCTCCCCTCTCCCCAGTGGTCCATTTTCGCATTG